TTGGTTGCTACGGTAAACAAACAAGATGAGAACATTGTCAAGGAGATCAGCGGGGAATCATTGGGGCTCGTCTTGCAGTCATCACTCGCACACTCACACGGGGGCACTTCACACACTTACACACACAAACAAGCTCACACAATCAGCGGGGGCTCGTCCGGGATTGTTTTTTTTTGGCTATCGCTTATTCACACAACCACAAATACTCTTTTCACACAACCACACATACTCTACTCACACAATCACACATACTCTACTCACACAATCACACATACTCTACTCACACAATCACACTTACTGTATTCACACAATCACACATACTGTATTCACACAATCACACTTACTCTACTCACACAATCACACATACTCTACTCACACAATCACACATACTCTACTCACACAATCACACATACTCTACCCACACAATCACACATACTCTACTCACACAATCACACACACTCTACTCACACATCACACATACTCTACTCACACAACCACACATACTCTACCCACACAATCACACATACTCTACTCACACAATCACACATACTCTACTCACACAATCACACATACTCTACTCACACAACCACACACACTCTACTCACACAATCACATATACTCTGCCACACTCACTTCACAAACACACTCACACTTAACTATTCACACAATCACTCACGAACTGACACACACACACACACATGCAAGATGCGTACCGTGCCATTATTTCACCTGCTTCTCGTCATTGTACGCTTGTTTTTCTTTGTGTGTGAAACAAGGTGAACATTGTATTGCCCTCTCTCTCATCCTATCTCTCCTCCTCTCTCCTCTCCCTCTCTCTTTTTCTCTCCCTCTCTCTATCTCTCCTATTTTTCCTCCTGTCCCTTGCTCTCTCTTTATCACTTCTTATCCCGTTCTCTCTCACACGCATACATTCACCAAATATAACGAGTTCACGCTTCAAAAATCTCGAGAGAGAACTCTCGCCTCCCTCACTTATTACCTCCCCCAATCCTCCAGTACAATCCCCCCCACCCCCACTACCCAGCGCCCCTAACCACTCCTGCCCTACCCCAAAATTTAAATCATCCCCTAAAGGTGAGCAGTGAATTAAAGTGCTGGCACCCAGAGAGTGACACGTCATGTGCACTCTTCTAAATCCACACAGCATTGAGTTCTATGGGCAGACATTGTGCAGTATTAGAGTTTCTTCCAGGCATCTCTTCAGGAGGGCTCCGCCCACCCCCCCTCCGAAAAATGGCTACCCAACGCCCCCCAAACGAAATAGAATTTATATAGAATTTATATACTTTTACCAGTGTCACTCACCCCCCCCCCCCCCCCCGGAGAAAAAAGTCTGGAAGAAACACTGTTTGGTATTTCATAGTTTATCTACAGGATCGGATTAAAGGTGGGCCCCCTGAATAAAACTATCTTGGGTCATTGTGGGGGCCCCTGTCTAAAATTATCTGGTCTCTGTAGCTGCTATACAACATGGACGATCTAGATCTTATTACATACAATATTTCGAGGACTCCTATTTTCGGGAGTACTAAAACCTTTGTTAAGTGTCTATGTACTAAAACCTGTACGGTACCACTAGACTATGCTGTTAGACCCTACACTGTGTCCACGGTGCCTACTATACACCTCCAACCCTGTAAACCAACCCCAGCAGTAACGTGAGTACCTCACTGGCTCCCTTCACGATCTCTGATACCTGTTGAAATTCGCCTGCACTGTTTTGTGTTAGCTCACACACTTTCATGTACGATCACACATTCACGTGTGAGAAACATGGCACCATATCTTTATAACGCGATCACATCAAAGTAGTTCTTATATTTTTATTGTTATTTATATCAACCTGTAAACTTACCTATACAAGCCGCGCAGAATATGCGCCAATTGTTCTATTTATAGCTTGCGTTTCCTCGCTTCTTCCTACTTATTCGGCGCGCGCATGCGCGAGTTGATGTAAAAGCAGGCGTAAGTAAACAATGAAAGTGAAAACACAAAAAGGGTAGGGGTGGGTGGGTGGGCCTTTTTTTTAAAGCCGTGGATCTCGAGGTGAAGTTTATGTTTATAAACTCGGAAACTTCACTTCAAAATGTGTGCATGTCCGGGGTGGGGGTGGGGGTGCATCATGTGTTTTGTGTGAGTACATGTGGGTTTGGGTTTGTGTTGTAACATGGACATACAGACATTTCAAAGACCTTACACTTACATAACGGTACCTTAGGTTACCTATTTAGGCTTGTACGTGGAGACATTGTTACCTCGGTCAACGTGTTAGGCGTCATAGTGACCGTTGACTCCGATTTCAGCCTGTTTTTCTTTTTCGATTTGCTTTCATAGCTTTTGTCCATCCAAGAAAAAACTACAAGGCAGTAGTTTGATTTTGAAGTTAGGTTTCTTTCCTAGATAGATTGCTGTCCCCAGCTAACGAGCCTCATCTGCCCGGGGTTTAAACTCGGGACTTTTCAGTTTGGCAACCATGAGCTTTACCGACCCGATCACGCAAATCATTTCTCTAAAGTACAATTGAAATAGAAATGTGTACAGCTTATGTAGTGCGAAATCTGTTCTCCCAAGAGATGGGTGGTCATAGTTTATTGGTGAACTCAGTGAGACAGTACAGGTGAGACTAACCAGGTGTCTTGACAAGTCACTAGTGAGACCAGATATTGTTAGAAGGTCACACGACAGATAAGTGAGTTATGGTGCCGACCTATACCACGCAGACGATTCAGCGGTGGGGTGTCCATACTTTTGGTTGTTTTTTTTTTATTTTAATAAAAGATTTATTTTTAATTAAACTAATTACATGAATAAAATTAACGACAAAATAGTGGGGTTCTTGAAACACGGGCCCTTGGGTCGTAGCCACGCTAGCCCCATGGTTAATCCTGCACTGATAAATCTGTTATTTTGACTAGAGTTTTTTGGATAATGGAAACATGGGTTTTTCCTTTCCTCTTCTAAAAGTCCAACGAACTTTCAGTTTCTCCTTTAAGGCAGATTTACGGCTAAGATTTTAGTTTCGATTGTACTCAATACTCAGTTTTATTAATGTACTTTTGCCTACGCAATCTTAGAAGTTTTGAGCTAACTAAAAAGTTTCATGTGGTGGAACTATCCACGAGACAAAGTACTGTGAGGCAGAAACACGAGGAAGAAATAGCTTGAGCTAACATGGTGTGTAGTTGCATGTTGTTCTGCTCACCTGTCTGGGGGGGGGGGGTTACCTGTGTCATAATACACCTGTGCAGGTACACCTATACAGTGGCTGACGTGTGTCTGGATTTCAACTACAGGCCAGGACTAGGGCTAGGTTCTTTAATCAAGTGAGAGGCACCGATGGTGTTGTGTAATACAGTCCCAGTCTCTTCTCCATCCTACTTATGTTTGAGTTGCTTGCACGCGTTGATGTCTTAAAGTTTTAATTTTCGTGTTGGTGTGTTTATATCTTCTACCCCATCGAAACTAAGGCTACATGAATTTATGGCATCCACCATTATCGTTAAAAAGTGTAAGCACGTGTTAAGGGCACGTGTTAATTGGGGTTGGGGGTGACACCACACAACTATATCATAATCATTCATTGGGTTACATACTATTTTTATAAAATATAACCTTTCATTTGGTTATATACTGTACTATTTTTATTTAATATGAAAATAGTTTGTATATATTGTAAAATGTATCTATAATACAAGTAATTTGTAAACCATATAATAGACAATAATCTGTTTAAAGCTTAAAAGCATTTAAGTTCAAGTAAAATATTAGTCATATGCTAAACAAAATTTTGAACTACACAGAAGGCGATATGTGTTGAGTGGACCATATTTATTACATTGTAAATTTCAGTTTACAAAGTTATTTTTTTCTTGTTTAAATATGCTTCGGACATTTAATATTGGTAGCGTGTATTATATAGTTAATGCGCTTTATTCTCGAGATGGGGGGGGGGGCGCCATCCAAATGAAGAAGTTACACAACATTGCAAACCACGAGAGACTTGATATATAAATATTTGAGTTCAAAGAGAGTTAAATCAGCCTATTCATTGTGAATGTCAATTAGATCCAACACAGGACTTGGGTGATTTTTGTTTTCGAAAAAAAAAATCATTTAACCATCTAGAAATATTACGTTTTATACAGTTTTAAGACACTTTTAAAAGCAAAATGGTTGTGCTACGTTACCCCCTTTAGATTATTTCCCTTACAGCTAAGTTAGATTATGCCCCTTACGTGTGTGGGGTATGTTGAGACTGGTGCTGTATCAAAGATGACCTTTTTGAGTAGATAGCCTCCCCTGAATGAAAAGTATCTCTTGTTTGTGTTCCTATTGTACAAAAGTCGATACAACAAAAGATGTAGTAATGTAAGGCCGTCTTACACTGTACAATAAAAGGCTTGGCAAAAAAAAATGACTACTGATGGTCATTGACCGCTAAGTCGTGAGAGCTGCTCTATTTGACCATTCCCCTCTGGTATTTGAATGCAGATTATTTTTGGTAAAGGCGGATTAGCTTGGGAAAAGGGAGCTAATGTTGGGTGAGCGGGGGTTAAAAGACTTTAAAATTAGGTCAGTGATTTCTAAGGCAAACAACAAACTACCAGTCAAAGCTGGAGAGTTACCAAACATGACAACAAATAGATCGAAATGGTTGACTCGGCGAGGCTATGTTTGATATCCTGTACGCAAATAAAAGATTGACTCCGTATGCCGTATGGAAATATTTATCCTCGTTTTCAAACCAATCAACACGGTGTAAAGGCAAGTTCTAAACCGATTTGTTTTTTAGCGCGGTCGGTGTGTACTCACTTTTGATTTACCTAGCTGTATTGTTAGGGTGAGTATTTTAGTGGACAACTCGTTGTGTTGATGTGCATGAATTGTGAGCTGATCAGGAGGGAGCACATTCAGCGCATACCTGAAGGAGAATAAAAAATCACGTGACATTAATTTCATCAAATTGTTTCTACTTTCAGAAAAACTCACAACAGAGTCTGTGGCCAACATGGACTTTGAAATTCCTGACGATATCGGTATGTTTTATTTTTTATTTTTTGTTTTTACTGCTGCTTTTAACAACTTGTTCAGATGAAAGTTTTTTCCAGGCATCTCTTCACCCCCCCCCCCCCCCGAAAAAAGTCTACCGCCCCCTCCCCCCCCCCCCAAATGAAATGGAATTTATATAGCAAATATATACATTTAACAGTGTCTGCCTCCCCCCCCCCCGAAGAAAGTCTACCCCCCCCCCCGAAAATTTCAAGTTCCCCCCCCCCCCCCCCCCCCGAGAAAAAAAAGTCTGGAAGAAACACTGGGTAGTGGATTGCTCATTTATAAGCCTTATATATCACGGAGCGAGTGGGTTGTGGTTTATTTGTTTATATGGTATATATGGGCTTGAGTGGTGGTATAGAGCATGTATTAAATGGTTGAATGAATAGAATCAAGATTGGTATAGCTGATTACATTTTTTTTAAAACTTGTAATGGTATTAGACACTATTAGACCTAAAGAAAATTTAACAAGTGATTTTTTTCTCTATAAAATGATGTGATTTGCACTATTAATATTTTTTTAAACTAGTTTGTTTTTTGTAGTAGTTGTAATAAATAATAGCATAAATAAATAAATAGTATTTAAATAATAGCATTGGGAATTTTGTTCTCATGTGGGTTATAATTACATGCCTAGATCTATATAATACATTTATTTTGTCCTCCCCCACTGCTGCAAAACAATAAATACACCCATTACTTTGGAAGTTTGTAGATTAAATAGATGATAAATAATAATAATTAAAATACATGTTCAGTAGATTTGAATTCAAAACTTAATTATATAAATATGTTTATTTTTGTCTTAGATCTAAGTCAATGTCCTGGACTAGTGGAGATCAACAAACACACCCCAAACTGGAAAAAGGACATGATAGAGAAGAAGAACCAAGAGAAAATTGAGGAATATGTTGTAAGTTATTTAACTTTCATTTCTCAATATTTATCTGGCCTTCATTAATCTGCCAGAAAATTGCTATGCAAAATAAAATAAAATTTGGCTAGTTAAAAAATGTTTCCTAAAGCAGCACACTCCTATAAAAGAAAAAGCCTTTTTTTTTTTTTAAAGATTTGTTTAATATTTTTTAAAACTCAAGCATTTATTTTCAAAGAAAATATTGTAAAAAAATTTATTAATCTAATATCATTTTCTTTTGTTGTTTTTTACAGAAAGGTATTTTGAGACAAAGAGAATTGGAAGCAAAATGGAAAAATGTCCCTGAATGGAAAAGAAAAATTTTACAAAAGAAGGAAGAAGAGGTATGTCATTGATTACCTAGACCTATATGACTAAGTGAACATTTAATTAGCCTTTCCATTTTCAACCAGGCATCTCATCAGGTACTGTGAATTCATTAAAGACATCACTGATGTTTGTGGTTTAGACCCATAAACAATCTACAGCTTTTTTTAAAAAAACAGTTAAAATTTGTTTTGTTTACTCCAGGAACAAGGGATAGTAAAAGCTGAAACACCAGAGAAAGACAAGAAGCCACCCGAACAAAAATCTGGAGAAAAAGAGAAAAAAGTCGCAAGTAAAAAAGCACCAGTGCCACCACCACCACCACCAAAAGATGATTTTGTTCCCCCCAAACCAAAAGGTGAATATGTCCTCCCCTTCTAATTAGCCAAAACATGATTTTTGTCCCCCCCCCCCCCCCTTCTAATTTCTAATTAACCAACACATGATTTTTGTTTCTTTCACACTCAAACCAAAAATTGTCTGCCCTGTTTCCCCCCCCCCCCCCCTTAAAAAAGTGAATCCTCTCTCTCTTACCATGAACCAAAAGATTTTGTCCCCCCCCCCCCCCCCCACTTACCCACAACAACTCCCTCCCCTTCCAAACCTTAGGATTATTTCATTCACAGTTTAAGTAGAAACTGAGTATGAGGTATACATACATATTAAACACATCAGAATTATGGTGCTTAATGGATAAAAACTTATTTTATTGCAGAAATTTTAAATGTAATATTCAGCTATTTTTTGTTTGCTACCAGAAAATAACCAGAAAATTTTATTTTGTCGTGTAGGTGACATTGTTCCAGCTGCCTTGAGCATAGATCCTGAAGAACTAGCTGCAATGCCTCCATGGAAGAGGGAACTGCTGTTCAAGAGGGACAAGGTTCCAATCACATTTTCTAATGAGTTTAACCCTGAGGAACAAGAGCAGTCTGGGCAGGGGGACGACCCCGATGCCAGTTGATGGAGTTCTCTGAGATATGAATGACTGCTTTCTTGTGTAAATGTGTACACAAATCAAATGTTGATTTCATTACCAGATTTTTCTGCCCACTATGTTAGAACTTTTAATTAAGAAAGGGTTTTGTTTTAAAGTAATTCATTAGGCAATTATCAACAAAATGCATATTTCAATGATTATATAAAATTGATGTGTAAATAATTTTTTTTTAAATTCTGGTAATTTTTGTAACCTTTGTTTTTGTAAAATATTTTACTATTTTATCTTTGAAAGATAAAAAGAAATCTCTTTTTTTACATTTTGTAAAATAATTTTGGTTGTTAAAGTGTAGTCTTGTCAGTTGAAACAGGATAATTAAATGCAATTTGTATCTGGCAATAAACCAATGTGAGGATAACTGTGTGATTGTGAAATTGAAATGAATTCATTTTATACTCATAAAGATGTATAGTCTTATATAAATTAATAAGCTGGATTGTATTAATGCCTGTGTGAACATGTTCAAAAACTTGCCAGATTGGCAAGATTTTATTTTTAATCTAGCTAGAGTAGTATATATTTTATACTTAAAATAAATTGTTTTTAAATGTGTATGATCTATGAACTGGTTTTTAGAGTTTAAAAAAGTATCTACTTTATTACTAAAAAATTATTTTATCAAGTGTTTAAATCATAGTTATAATATTATTGTGAGCCGAATAGTGCCAAAATAATTTCTACAAAGTTTTCCTTATATGAAAACCAAATTTATTATGAATAGTATAAATCATATAGAACATTAGAAACAAATCATTAATTATTCAAATAAAGGCCTACTATAATTGAGTTTGGATAATTTTTAGCTAATGCTATTACTTGTTAGCTTGTCTTTTTGAAAATTCTGTTACTATAATGTTTATCTATTTATGTATAATATTTTGACGGAATCTGATTTATTGTATTATACAATCGAGATCTTTTTCCACCATTAAATTACTGTAGTGATCTCTTGTGGATTTCAACTTTAGATTGTTGAATTTGAATTTTGTACAATATAGTTGAGACAAACTGCTTCCTGTTATGTGTCTTTAACACAATAACTGGAACTGCCAAGCTCTTTTTGATCTGTTTTACAACAAACTCTTTATATTTATTAATTGAATTGATAAAAAGGGATAAAATTATGAAGAGCGCCCTCTCTATTATAAATACAATTTGATGGGGTTTTTTAATGCCCTTTCGTAAGATGTTAAGGTTATGCCAATTAAAACATTAAATTTATACACAATACCTTTTTGCATTTAGAGGCTTTTTCTATTGGAAAAGTAAATAAAGCTTGAACAAATCTACTTGACTGATTTATTAAAATAGTATTATTATACTGAAAATTTGTTGGTATTTGTGTACAAATTTTTCTCACTTTTCTGTGTTGTAGACTACTTGTAGATAAAATGATGAAGTTTTAAATTCTGTCAACTATGGTCATTAAATGACAAATATCTTCAAATATGTTAGTGCTTTGCATTAGATACATTTTTACATTTCAAATAATCATAAAGGTTCTGCCATCTTGTGTTTACAAACTATGTGAATAAGAGTTGTCCACCCTCCTTCTAAACTTCTTTGATACTGGTGTGATCACAGTGTCTTAAACAATAAACGTGCCTTTGCTATTGAAAGCTACATTGCACAGTTCATTTGTCACCTTTCTAAGCTAGGTTCTATTTTCAAAAAAGGCACAATGTTGCTGTTAAAAGTGGTACAGTTTTCAATCAGAGCCTTCATCAAGCTAATATCAAGTAAAATATTCATCTAGCTATCAAAGTACAATCCAGCAAATTATAAAACGTTTCTGATTTCTAAAGGAGTTTTGAAGATACTTTTAAACATACCTGTATTCTATTATCTTTGTATATATTTTTAATAAATAATTTATTTTAATGTAAATGTAAAAAAAAATTTAAACTTTTATAAGTAAAATAGTTTGTTAAAAACTTATGAAAACAAATCATGTCGCTGTTGTTTAAAGTCAGTAATCATTGTTGTTAGATATATTTGTTTCTTTTATTTTCAGTGATTGGTATTTTAAGTTGTTCATTACCTACAACACCAAAAGGGAGAATTAAAGAGCTCTAATGATTGCAATTGTATTGACAGTTAAAGTCATTGATTATTTTTATGCAAATTATTGTTAGCATATTCTACTTTGTCACATTTAATCATTTATTTATTCATCAGTTTGTGATATAAATTTAGCATCTCCTATTTCATTTATCTGTTTGTAATGTAGTAGCTGCCATTGCTAAGATGTGTATGCTTGTATAAAACATTGCTAATTTTTTTTTTATATGAATATTTTTCTCAAAGGTTAAATCCTGTTATAGTTCAATTTTATATAAAATATGAAAATAACTGAGAATTGTATAAATCAACTAAAGATTGCCAAAAGTTCCTTTAAAAATAATTTTTTAAACCAGCTTTAAAAAAAAGGTTTTCTAAGTTTGAAAAAAAACCGTTATAATATCATCCTCTTAGATACTTTTTTTGATGTGTTGAAGATATGAAAATTTTATTTTAAAAGCCACCCTACATTTTATGAATATTTATTTCAGACACATATTCATAAGCATTTTTATTTTCACATTTTAAATTGCCATTTTAGCATTTTAAATTAAGAGTAATTAAGAAATTACTAATTTGCAGTTAGATTACTATATGAATGCAATGGTGAAAACTGTCAATAAGTTTCCCATTGGAATGAAGCAAATTTTTCTGTCATCCCTTTCTGAATATATGGCTTCTTTTGTTTCGCCTGCTTTGTTATTTGTGTAGTTGTTTTTATTTATCCCTGTGTGCTATGCTGATCATGATGCCAGAGGACAAAAAAACTTCCAAGTGTGGATTTTAAAAGAACTATTGTTTTGATATCAAGTATTATTTCTATTAAGTGGCCTAGGCAACTTCTCAGGAAAACCTTAAAACCGAATCAAATTTTTTTTTTCGATACATTCATGTATTACTCTTTGTTTTGTTTTATGTGTTTTTAAGTGAATCCAGAGGAATTAAAATATGTCAACTTGAGTTTTACTAAATAAAATGAGCTACCCAGTATGATTTTTAGAGATTCTATTGAGTAGCTGTTTGGGTTAAGCCTTTTTTACTGGTTCGATTAAAGGACCCAGAGTGCTCTGTACTAGCTCACCTAAAGGATCCAGACTATTAGTCTAATAAATATATAAAAATTCCATCTATTTAATCCATTCATTGTATGTTGCCGCAAGTAACAAATAATGTTGTTCTGTTTACACAACTTCTAGAATGAGGCTCAAATTTTGTGTGGGTATCATCCATGCTGTAGCAACCATTTCTTGCCACTCATAGCTTGTAATGTGCATGTGTGTTCTCGTCTCTTGTTAGAGTTAACAAATCATGGATGTAAGATGTCTCTAGAGTTAGGTTAACGAGTCATGGATGTAAAGATGTCTCTAAAGTTAGGTTAACAAGTCATGGATGTAAGGTGTCAATCTTAAACTTGTATTTCTTCCAGACAGGATTATCATGAATAGTGTTCAAACATTTATTCTTTCTTTCTTTGTCCCTTGATGCTTCTGTTATTAAACTTATTCATATAAATTTTCTTGATTTTTTTAATCGTTTTATTTTTAAATAAAAGAATTTTAATGGCAGTCATATATTTAATTACAGTAAAAAAAAAAAAGCAGTAACCTCTGTCAGTTTTATAGTTTGTTTTACTGTAAACCTTTCACTAGACAAAACTACACAAACTTATGCTAGACTCCAGCTTGAGGTTTTTAAATTTTCTGAACCCCTAACTCTCCTAAGTCTTACAGATTTTATTTCATAAACCCAACCAAATGCTTACACAGTAAAAAATTAAATAATCATTTATCAATTAATTAAATTAGCAACTTTATTTTATAAACCATATAACGCAAAATAGTATGGTCTCTCTATTTTAACAACAAAATAACTAATCACAATGGTTAAGAACACAAAATGTATCATATTCAAACTACCCACACATAAATATGTTATGTTCTAGTTGACATACAAAATGTGACAAGTTCTAGCTAACCACACACAAAATGTGACAAGTTCTAGCTAATCACATACAAAATGTGACAAGTTCTAGCTAACCACATACAAAATGTGACAAGTTCTAGCTAACAAAATGTGTCATTCTGACTACACACAAAATATGTCCTAATGACTAACTACACACAAAATGTGTCATTCTGATTATGACTAACTAAACACAAAATGTGTAATTATGACTAATCACACACAAAATGTGTCATTCTGATTATGACTAACTAAACACAAAATGTGTAATTATGACTAATCACACACAAAATGTGTCATTCTGATTATGACTAACTAAACACAAAATGTGTAATTATGACTAAACACACACAAAATATGTAATTCTAACTAACCACACACAAAATGTGTCATTCTGACTAACCACACACAAAATGTGTCATTCTGACTAACTAAACACCAAATGTGTTATGTCTATCTACACATAAACAAAAATGATTTTCTTTAAGTAGATCATTGTGAAGTTCAGAACTAAAATACTTTTCTAAATCACACAAAAACAATCTGTTGACGTGTTGAATAAAATAACAGTTAAATGGCACTGAAAACCTTAGTCTCAGCAGATAGAACACCAGGACTACTATAGAGCTACAGCCTTTTATTTTTTTTTACAAGACTTGGGTAGATTAACTGCTGCACTGATATTAGGTATATCTTAAGCTTTATTATTACTTTATCATTACTAATGGGGGTGACATTAGCAAAATATTAGCTTCAGAAGCCCTGCCACTTTAAAAGTGAAACATAATTCTATCAAATGTTTATATTTTTCTTGGCCAACCAGCAAAAGCCCCAAGATTCAGAAGTATTTTATGTCGTAACAATTGAATAGAGGGTATATAGGAAATTATCTAAATTATGTACTTCAAAGTCCTGCTTTCATTCCATGGTAATATTTGTGGGACTAGAGTTATGATTTTAAAGTCAACGATTTTTTAAACTTTCAGGCACTTTATCAATTGCTTGACACCCAGTATCTCAGTAAAATTGTTTCTCTGTTAATAAGATAATTTTTAAATGCATTTTCCTGACTATAATACAGTAAAATGTATAAAAATAGAACAGAAAAAAATATTTTAAGGTCTTAATAAAAAGCAAAATTTAAAAAAAAAGCAAGATACTTAACTTTAATGATAATTGATCTCAAAAGCATTCAAGGCTTAAAAATTGGATGCTTAAGATGTGATTAAGAAATTATTAATTTAAAAAATATTATGTGTACTTTTAAAGTGCTAAAACAATTTTTTTAAATCCTGGACTTGAAGTCACAAGGTTAGCTTAAAGTTTCTAAAATGTACATTTTTCAAAAAGTTTACCATTTTTTTTACCTCACATGTTAGAAATGGTTTGAAGTTTTCTGGCAACTTTTAGCCATCCAGAAAAAGGTGGAAAAAAAAACATTAAAAACATGGTAAATTAAAAATACACAGAAACCTTTCAGTCAAACTTTTGTAAAAAAAAAAATCTGGCTATTGCAGTTGACCAATCACAGTATACAATTCATTTGAACTAAAGCACACTTTTTTTTTCTTAGCAATATACATATTAGAGCAATTAAAATTGCTATATGGAAACAAAAAATTCTACAAGTAATGATAAACATACCAGGTGATGATCAAAGTAAGATTTAAATGGTGCAGCAGGGTGGGTTAAATATAGCTTGTAATCAAATAAATAGGTTAGGTAAACAAAATAACGGAATTTCAGAAAGCAGCAGAAATATGATGACTCAGCAAGTGTTTGAAACCTGGCTCTTAACATCTCAACAAAATAACACAGTGTCTATGGGGTCAGTTTAAGTAGTTAGTAGACCATAACAAATCTCTTAAAAAATTAAAAACTAGCTGTTAGCATATCAGTATACTATGGTTTACATCACTTTATCCAAAACTTGTTGGCTTCATTTCAAATATCACAGAACTTACATCATTTTAGATCCAAAATAAGAATTAGTTTCAAAATATCCTGTAAATTTAGAATCTGGAATTATATAATAATTATATTAATTTAATTCAAAATCCAGTAGTCTTATTTTAAAAATGGGGATGTATAATTTTATTAACTTAACTTGTATAATTGCAGATTAACAAAGCTTAGATAACAAAAAGACATCAATTTAACTATGTTACAGTAATGCCACTACCCCTGATTACAATCAAAACAAGGTCATAAAAAATGTAAAGTAACTAAAGAGAAAAGTTGGATGTTTACAATCAACATTAGTTTTAACTTTTCTTGGTTAAATAAAGTAACACTCATTACAAATATCTGAATAATACATTTAAATTAAATAGAACATTTGAAAGCAATTTTGTAAAATTCCACAGAATTAAAAAAGAAGTCTTTTGGTTGTTGTGTATGATAGAAGGAATGTTTAAGCAGTTTTTAAACATCTGAGATTTAATGTGTCAAATATTGCACTTAAAGGACAGGGAGAAAAAAAAACAGTAACTGGAGACAACATGATGCAAGGAAGGTTAACTGCAAGTATAAACACAGTCAAATTTTATACAATTCATTGAAATTATTTAAAAAAATCACAATTGTTTTTATCAATTAATATCATTTTTTTTTTAAATTAAGCTTTGATTTCGATGTAGCTCTAGTAACAAAACTATTTGAATTATTGGTTGAATACTTTCACTAAAACAGGGCAAAATGTTCGTTGTTGAAGCTACAGTTGAATGTTGAGAATTAACCAGTTTTAAGGTTTATTTGAAAGTTCAGAATCTTCGTCCAATCCAGCAAAAAAAAAAAAAAAAGAAATAAGCTTTCTACAGCCCAGAAAAGTGAACACAAATAATACTGTTGTGAAATACATGTAAAAATAAATGCTGAAATTGTACGACTTTTACAAAATAAAATTTAGGGACATATGAAAAAAAATGTATAGTTTAATTAACAATTTGAATTATTTTAAATGCAATAGCATTAAAGAACAGTAAAGGTGTGAGGCAGCATTTTCTATTTTTTTAATTAAAAAACAATGTATTGCTTCACATTCTTATGCTTGTTAAATTTTTTAAACAGTCTTTAAAATTTCAACCAGTGTACTCTGGGACTGTATGCTTTAAGTTGTTACAGAAAGGGTTAAACATGCATGGAAATATAACAATACAAGCAAGGGTTAACTAAGGCAGCTGATTGTGAAATAATTAAACTTTCTTTGTGAAGAGCATTGGATTATTAAAAACATACAAGGTGCTATGGCAAGGGGAGTCAAATTGTTGTGTTTTTTTTATGTTGATAGAAAATTTGAAGTGGTACAAAAACTTCACTACACAGTTACACCTACAGAGGAAACTTAATCACTATTTCAAAGATGGTTGGCTATACAAAAAATAAAGAAAATAACATTTTCACTTTACCAGTTACAAGTTTAAATAATTTTAAATAATCTTCAGAGATTGAAGTAAACAAAACACTTCAACCAATGAGCTAGCTTAATTCAAATACTAGGTGATTTTACCTTGGCATTTGTTATGGTGATCAGCTGGGTCTATTTAAGCACTAGTAATTTTACCTAGACATTGGATATGTTAATCTATCAACAAACACACCAACTACTAACTTAAGTGAAGGCTACACCAAACTTCTTTGGCCTCTTGTCGTAAGAAAACATGTCGTCTGAGGGGTCGTCTTCTGCTGGCTGGATGAGCTGGTAGGAGCCATAGTCGTGCTTGAAACAACCAAAGATGTACTTGCCCGGCCCATGTGGGGTGCGGCCCAGGAGGAAGTTGGCAAAGACCTGCTCGTAACTGTCCAGCGTTAGTGGATATCTGCCGTTCTGTCAGGGATAAAATATTGTCAAGTCAGCATTATGGCCAGGTGTGCCGACCAGTGGTCAGTTTAATTTTACTCAGTAGCTAAATTAAGGTCAGAACTGGGTAATTAGCCTATGGTTAGTTTATTTAGTTAACTCAGCAGTTTATTTAACTCAGTAGCTGACCTATGGTTAGTTTATTTAACTCAGTAGCTGACCTATGTCATTTTATGTAAATCAGTAGCTGACCTATGTCAGTTTATTTAACTCAGTAGCTGACCTATGTCAGTTTATTTAACTCAGTAGCTGACCTATGTCAGTTTATTTAACTCAGTAGCTGACCTATGTCAGTTTATTTAACTCAGTAGCTGACCTATGTCATTTATTTAACTCAGTAGCTGACCTATGGTCAGTTTAGTTAACTCAGTAGCTGACCTATGTCCGTTTATTTAAATCAGTAGCTGACCTATGGTCAGTTTATTTAACTCATTAAGTGACCCATGGCCAATTTATTAAAAAGAACTAGCCAATGAAAGATTAAGAACAAATTACATCAGTCATTTTACTGTAAGCCATGTGTGTGGATGTCTCCAGATCTTTCAAGTCCACCTGCAGGTCAACCATCTCTTTGTAAAACTGGAAAATCTCATCGCTGGTCAGGACATCGTCATCTTTAAAAAATGTGTAATCAACCGGTAATTAAATATATAATGAATTCACTTTATTAGTCTTCAAATGAGGTAGATAAATGAAAAAATCTATCACAGATATTTTTAAACCTGATATTTCAACAGAAGAAGCATTTTGTGAGATAGGTATGGTTTAAGTGTGAAAGAAAAACATACAAGAAAATTGTCTGTTGAGTCTGTTGTGGACCCATGAACTAGAGCTCATAATGGGATATTGTTGAGTCTGGGATAGACCCATGAGCTAGAGCTCATAGTGGGCCATCTGATCAAGTCTCTGAAATACAAAAATCAGGCTCATATAGGGAACACTGACATTGTATGACACTCCACGGAGTGGCTGGTTGTCACATCACTATATTGTTATAGGTGGTTGCCACATCTCATGGTTGTCATATGGGGCTGACACATAACATGAGGGTTGTCAATTTTTTAAGGTAGACATGGGGGGGGGTTGCATCTCTTTATCATCATGGATAGGTGGTTGTCATATCACAAGGTTATCATATCACAAGCTGTCAAGGGGTTCTGATACGTAAAGGTTCATGGGGGAGGGGGAGAGGGGTGTTGCCACATTCCAAGGTCACCATGACAGTGTCAGAGTTTATGACCGTCATGTGTATATCACAAACAGGAGAAAAGTGTGACAGTTCCAAGCAATCACAACATCACAGAAAGTTGCTCTGGTAATGACATCTTAAAACAGACAATGATTTCATGAGGAATAAAACAAGTAGAGTGCTAGAATGGTGTAACAATCTCATGATAGTAGAGTTAGACTGGTGAAACAATCTCATGAGAGGGGTGTTAGAATGATGTAGTAATAACATGAGAAGAGTACTAGACTAGTGTAAGAATCTCACTGTTGCGATCCATCATATCAAACAACACTTTGGGCATCAGCCGCAGCCAGACAGGGAAGTTGCTCATCCCCTTACAGCCAGGCAGGATGTGGGACCAGATGGCGTACCAGTCATCCAGTGTGGCAGTGCCATCTGTCAGTACAACAGAACACAGTGTCAACACATTTTTTTATCTGTGCCATCTGTCAGTACAAACAGAACACAGTGTCAACACATTTTTTTATCAGTGCCGTCTGTCAGTACAAACAGAACACAGTGTCAACACATTTTTTTATCAGTGCCATCTGTCAGTACAAACACAACACAGTGTCAATGCATTTTTTTATCAGTGCCATCTGTCAGTACAAACACAACACAGTGTCAACACATTTTTTTTATTAGTGACATCTGTCAGTACAAACACAACACAGTGTCAACAAAAAAAATTTATCAGTGCCATCTGTCAGTACAAACAGAACACAGTGTCAACAAAAAATTTTATCAGTGCCATCTGTCAGTACAAACAACACAGTGTCAACACATTTTTTTTATTAGTGACATCTGTCCGTACAAATTAAACACAGAGTCAACACATTTTTTTTATTAGTGACATCTGTCAGTACAAATTAAACACAGAGTCAACACATTTTTTGTATCATTCCAATAAAGATTCAAATAATGGGATAAAAGTAATTACAAGTATTACACAAAAAAACCAAACGTTAACAAAAATGACTTATCAAGTACCCATGAACAACTTTCTCTTATTAGTGAGTGGGAACACTTGGACCCCAAAAGTAAAACAATTCAATGTGTGGGTGTAGCCAATCAATATAAAACACGCTTAAATGTTTAAGCTACTACAGGACCAGCTATTGCTCAGCACAGTTGTAATTACCTTTCCATGTCAGGCAGAAGGAATGTAGCATACATGCCTGTCATCACTAGACCATTACAGCCTGTGTACTGCATTTAAATGCTGTGTACAGTTGTATTCAGAACATGTGGACACTTACATTTAGACCCTGTGTACCATTACACTTACATTTAGACCCTGTGTACCATTACACTTACACCCAGTGTACCATTACACTTACACGTAGTGTACTATTACAATAACACCCAGTGCATCATTACACTTACACCCACTATACACCTGCTATGTATTACATACTCACGGTGCCCACTCTCTGCCTCTGATTTTTCAAACAGAATCTCAAAAAATGCTTGATGAATCTCCACACACTGAAGAGCTCTGTGGTTATCTTTTGGCCAGCCAGTGAATTTGTAAATTTTCTAAAAAATTGAAATAATGCTAGATGAAAACATCTTTATCTTTTTAATACACAATCCAATATCCTTCATCCAAGAAAGTTCATTTTTAATTTTAAAGTAATGAAGCTAAGCATATCTCTTTTAATATTACTACTGTTAGTTTTATCAAGTCTTAACACAGAGGTAGTATTCAAAAAGTGAATAGGCCTACATTTTTCCAATTTTATTAAACGTAATATTATTGTATAATGTAGGTTGGCAGTGATTTGAAATCTATACTTTACTGTGTGTTATGTAGGATATGACTGGGAAGACAACAACCTAACTAGAAGTTTCTTCACACAAATTAATTAGTGTCTATCAGCCACTGTATATAAAAAATATTATATTTATTCTTTAGCCAAGGTATATTTGGGAATATTCCTTCAGATAAAAAAAGCAGCTTTTTAGAACAGTATTGGAGATGTTTGCAGTATTCTATGGAACACTGACACTGTATGATTATAATGTGATATGTAAACTTTTATAATTTTCTCAAATCTTAGGGGTCAGCTAAAAACTGTGAGTCACCTGCATAATCCTGTCAAAACGGACTCACCTGCATGACCCTGTCAAAACTGATTGACCTGTATGACCCTGTAAAAACTGACTCACCTGCATAACCCTGTCAAAACTGTGACTCTCTAAAACACCATCCTGGTTTGGTTCTGTCAGATTAAAATTGGCATGACATTATTTGGTTTACTTTGTAGTAATCAATTTAATTACAATTCTTAGACAATTTTTTAATGAAAGTCCAGTATAGGTTAGCTCTAACAAAATTTTAAGAAAACTATATGCTTATTTTATAAAAAGAAAATATATATTTATTAAGTATTATTATAAGAATATTGAAGTTGAATAGGATAGATGATACAGCTTTACAAACACATACCTAAAAATTTAAAGTAGTATTGTAGTTTTTCTTTCTGAAATGGAGATAACACTACCGTTTGTGGCATTCTCCTAGGAATAAAAGATTTGAGGAACTTGATTATAACAGAAACAAAAGATTTATCTCATGACACTGCCATTTTTGTAGTACACTAAAAAAAATTTAATTTGTGGAGACTAAACTTTGAACCTTTAAAAATACTTCATTAAGTAGTCTTAATAAAACATGTTATATCTCATAGTAATCTTTAAATGTAATACTGTCTATTATTTAATCTAAAATCTATAAATAGAGAGGGGTGAAAGTTTAGAGTTTTTATTGATCTAAACACTAATAAATTCTTAATTTTATTAGCATTATTAGTCAGTTGTACTCTACAATACTCTAGCTAACATCTGTACATCTATCACCCTCTAGACCAGTGGTTCTTTAACCTTCATTGAAGTACCGAACCTCACATGATTCTTATGCACATGCAAAAAACCCTTCTTAAAAGAAAAAAACTGATATGTAGGTAGGCCTATACATTTTACTAGGGCACAAAATGAGCAGTGCATCAATATCACTGTGTTCAAAGAACAAAACCATTAAAATATTATTTTCACACAAAAACACAATGATGGACATTTACTACTGCAAAACAGTGTGACTTCTGCTGTTGGCTTTCAGACACAAGTTCTGAAACACGTGGTTCCACCTTGAATTCAGAGAGGGTTGTGTTCTTGTATTTTCCATGTGTTAGAGTAGAATTGATCAACTTGGCATTGTAAATCATCCAGTAAGGATGCTGACTCCCTTCAAGTTTTGTTACACATGCAAATCTGTATTGTATATATTTGCCAGACAGCTTTCTTTTTTTGCTCAACATAGTATAGGCCTAAAGGGCCTGAATATTATGAAGGAAACACAACGTACCATCACTCCTTATGACAGTCACAAGTCAATGGCTGAGCCATGATATAGAAATAAAAGTATGTACAGCAACGTGTGCCTGAATGGGTGGCAGTGACACAACCTGTGTAGTGACGTCATAGAATCCATGATATAGAAATATTTCTATGTAGTTATATAGATTTATTTATTACTATGTTATGCTGTCCTATAACATTCACACTGACAAAATCAGACGACAAATCATAGAAGTAGTTTAGTAGTAGTATGGTGTGTGTTTTGACCTCAGCTGGGTGTGTGTTTTGACCTCAGCTGGGTGTGTGTTTTGACCTCAGCTGGGTGTGTGTTTTGACCTCAGCTGGGTGTGTGTCTTGACCTCAGCTGGGTGTGTGTCTTGACCTCAGCTGGGTGTGTGTCTTGACCTCAGCTGGGTGTGTGTCTTGACCTCAGCTGGGTGTGTGTCTTGACCTCAGCTGGGTGTGTGTCTTGACCTCAGCTGGGTGTGTGTCTTGACCTCAGCTGGGTGTGTGTCTTGACCTCAGCTGGGTGTGTGTCTTGACCTCAGCTGGGTGTGTGTCTTGACCTCAGCTGGGTGTGTGTCTTGACCTCAGCTGGGTGTGTGTCTTGACCTCAGCTGAACCCTTGAGGTTGATTCAGTACTCAATACCTGGGGTTCCATGGAACTCAGGTTAAGATTTATCAAATACTATAATAAGAACCACTGCTCTGCTTGGTCAAGTTCTTGACTACCTACTCCTACAACCAGATTTGGCCAGATGCAGAGGATCAGATATTCTTATTCAATTTCAACATCTTTTACTTTTATTTTACTTTTAATTTTTCGTCAATCAACGCTCAAAAATCATTTTAAAGTATTAAATTTAAACCAAACAGTGTTTGAAACACCATTGTGGCATTGTCCATTACCCTTTAATTTTCCAAGCCTGGCTTGATTTTTAACACTGTAACTTGAGTTGACTTAGAATCTAGATCTAGATCTAGATCTAGATCTAGATTAGAATGACTTGAGTGTCACTCAGTCTCTACTCTCTACTCTACGATCTTTATCACTTCACTACACCCACTACACTCACTAGAGAAATAGAGATCTAGACTAGACTAGAATTAGAATCTAGTGAAGAAATCTAAATCTAGTCTTCTAGTCACAAATGAATGCATTCACTTAAAATCTAAACACGTCTAGATCTAGAATCTAGATCTAGATTTAGATCATAGATTTACCTACTGAAGCCTACTTTTAGTTCCAGACAACTTGTTTACTCGATATGAGGGAGCAAACAACACGAACACTTGTTATGAACTAAAGTAGGTCATGTGTGTTTTTTTGTTTCCATTCCAGTGATTTACTCTACTATTCAAGCTGCAGAGGTTAAAACATTGTTATAGCCAAATCTCATTGAAGCATCATCAATGCTTTTAATAATTTTGTGGTATTTATAGGATAGCCTGTTTTTATGTTTAGCCTCATTTAGCCTACTCGTTTTGTATTTTATTTTTGGTCAACTTATCGTCTTATAGCCCCATCTTAAAAAAGGGGGCCTAACTCCATTTTTAACAAACATTTTGCTCGGGAGGGGGGGGGGGGGGGGGGGGAGGGGGCACTTGAAACTTCCAGTGGATTTGACAATTTGGCAATTTCCTATTTCGTCCGGGTGGTGATGGTGGACGTGTTCCACAGAGGGGGCACTGTCTTTCCCCCCCCCTCCTCGGAGAGATGTCTAGGTATTTATATGCTTAGATCTATTATCAAGCATTATTAGAGATCAGCCTATATAAGCGTAGTAGCCCATGGGTTCAAGGATGAGCTTTAAATTTTTTAAAATTCAAGTAGGCCCCACATCTCACCTGTTACTGTGAGTGACCTCAGCACATGAAAGGATAGTAAGGAAAATTCTAGATCTATTCCTAGTTTCAATGTCGTCTCTTGATCGGGTGTCACCCGGTGCGGTAAATGAGGGTGTCACCCCGCCCCTCCAACTATTTTGCATTTTCGGTTTGGGGTATTCTTTCTCCCTACACTTCTACTAGTGTCCGCCCCCCCCCCCCGGAAAATGTTGACCGCCCCCCGAAAATATCAAGTGCCCCCCCCCCCCCCCCGGAGAAAAAAGTCTGGAAGAAACACTGGTCTCACCCTTCCCCCCCTCCCCACAAAGGTATCATCGGCGCATGATGCTTCCGCCAACCTGGTTGGTATTAATAATTATTAAATAGTATTTAGTTGACTTTTGAAAATGGTGTTCATATTCTCCTATCATTCCCCCACCCCCCTTTCCACACACACACACACCCTTTCCAATACACAATTTCATCCATATTTTTTATTGCTATATTTGTTTACCTCCCCTTACCTATTTTATAGTATATACTTCTGGTTTCCACCGGCAGATAGCAGAATCAGATGTACCTCTGAGCACTATTACACAGGACATGTAGTCACTCATTCGACAGCTGTAGTCTAGGTGGTTCTTGTATCTACGTTAGCGCGCGTCACTACATTACCAAAAGATAAACAAGACCTTGAACTTTGAAATTTTTTTGTATAGTAGGCCTACATTAGTTAATGTTCTTGTTCTAAATTTGAATATAACGCGATAGATTTTTTGGTCAAATATTTTGGTTGGACTAGAAGCTACATGGACAATCCGTGCACAATCGTGACCAATGCGAACGACAATTTTTCTGATCAAGAGGTATAACAATGAAAATCACCCTTCTAATGCACCAGCTGTTACTAGTTATTACATCCCATCTATAAGAATGAATGGATTACCAAACACAAAATACAATAAACGTACCTTTTTTAATTTAATACGGCAAGTCATAATTACTGCATTAAGTACAGTGACCAGTAAGCAGACTTACTGTAGCATTTGTACACTTTTTTTTTGCAACCATATCCCATCTAAAAGTGTACAAATTCAGGCTGCTAATTGAGTCATCAAAGTCCAATGTTCATCATTCTCTGGACATCAAAGTCCAATGTTCATCATTCTGTTGTCTAAAATGTCCATCTTTCTATGTTTGTCAATATTCAATGTCCATTAAGGATTCTATGGTCATCAAAGTCTGATGTCCATCATTAGATTCTTTAATTATCAAAGATCAATTTCCATCCTGTTATGATCATTGAGGTCCAACGCCCATTACTATACAACATGGCCAATCAAGGAGAGTAAGCTTTTTTAGTTGTCATTTATATTTAATACTATATATTGGCCCTGTAGTAGACTCATGACTGTCCTGATGGTATGTCTTGTGATTCCATTCTTAATATTTTATTCCCTTCATGCTGACTATCTCCAGCAAAATAAGAAAGTTGTCTGAGGAATGTGTACAATATGGGCTCACATGAAACTTGATAGGCGTTATCATCCTAACTGCATGATTTGCAATGGCAAGTTGAGCATTCTATTCTAACACTAAATATAGACTGTCACATAGCCCTTGGTGTCAATGACTAGACATGACATCAGTCCAACAGCTACACTGGAAAAAGATTTAGAAAAAGGAGAGGGGGGAAAAAATAACAAACGAGTTGAAAACATTTTTTAAAAATTGAATTAAGAATTGAACACATCACAATAATGTATGCATGAAACATTTGTACAGGAAATTTTGGTGAAAATATGAAAAACACCCCCTCACAACAGATACTTTCACTAGTCAAACTTCTTTTTTTTTCATTATTTTAGATCGTTAAGAGCAAGTTGTAACATATTTGTTACAAGCAGTTTGTAACATATGTTACAAGAAGGTCATATCATATCTGTTACAAGTAGCTTGTTACATATTTGTTACAATCATAACATATTCAATACAAAATGGCATTTACAATGGAGAAAAATAAAAATTTTCATGAACACACAACTCTAGAGCAACTACATGTGACAAAATAAAATCCACAAACTTAAACCATTTAATTTAATATCATTTGTTCATACATTGAATTAAAGTTCTAAAGTTCATTGCATAACATAATGCATGAAGTACCATTGTCACCAAATTGTGTAATTTTTTTAAAAAATAACCAATACACAAACAATACATTTTCATCCAAATAAGTTTATTTACCCACAATCAAATCTACCTAGGTGGGTGTTATTAAGTTGTGATGAATGCAGTTGGAAACTTCATACAACCCAAGCTAGGAGCTCTTCAATCTCACATAGTGAAGCTGTAGCATTCAACATCTAAACCACCACAATACTAATTCAAGTTGAATAGTTTTTTGATTGATGACAAGATTGAAGACCAAAACTAATGTGCCATTAAATTTAGGCACTTTTTGTTCTATGCCAATTTCTTTTCTAAACTCTAGGCCTATATTACCATAGTAAGTAAATTGAGTTCCCTTTTGAACCTGATGGTCTATGGTGCAAGTGAAGTAGAGTTCACCTATTTCTGTGACCTTGGCATATGAAAGGATAGTGTGGTCAGCACTATGCCCGGCCTTGTGTACTCCGGAACATTCTACAGACTTGCAACCGGATTCAAACTTGAGACTTTTGGGTTTATATTAACATACTTTTTAATTAACCTATGAGTTAGACAACATAAAAGACAAGTAATTAAGTATTTAATTTATAAAAATATATTAGAACACAGAAACTGCAAGTTAAATGTAATTGGTGGTAGATTGAGTACTGTAACTCAATAAAACATGCTAGCTTTTGTACTGTATCTCAATAAAACATGCTAGCTTTTGCACTTGATTTTCTTTTTACTTACCTCACCCCTGTTTAAAAATTGTGTTAGATTAAAGCTATCGTCAAGTCAACAACTGTACTAACTCACCACTCCACCATCATATACAATATAAATATTATCCAACAATGAACACTCCCAATAACTGGCTAACAATTAATGCTCCCAACAAGTGTTTTTATAAAAACAGCTACTTTCACATTAAAAACTTGTGTAAACCATTTTCAAATCAAGAAAATTATTTTGAGAATTTAGACAGTAGATCTGAACACATAAGAAATAATATTTTCAGAAGATCTCAACACATCAATTATATATTATCAAACTATTCAAGAAGCAAGCGCTTTCCATTTTTTCTTTTGTGGAGCATTGTCATTATTATATACCTTCCTAAATTAATGAATCGCTATCTACTGGAATTCTGTAAAATAATATAAAACCTCGTATGAAGACCTGACAAAAATATATTAAAAATAATGATTTAATATTATTCTTAATAATTAAGTATTAAAAAATACCTCAATTATAAGTTATTGTACTGATTATAATATCTCTGATAAAAATTTGATTAAAATTGCAATAGAATAAAATTTTGTCATGGATTTAAATAACTAATATAAATTATAAAAGGGAAAAATATAAAATACTTAGTAAATGTCCCATCAGATCTATAAGAAGAAATGCAACATTTTTGTCTGTAGTTTTAAGCATATACAATTTTCTCAATGTATAAAAAAATAATGGACCACTTTTTTCAAAGCTATTTTTGTCACAGTCATATGTATAAATAATAATTACAATAATGCTTTGATATCACCCAACAAGAAAACACCCATAAAACTGAAATAAAATCCAGTCATTTTACACAGGTAACACTAATTACCTACAATCAATGAACCCAAATCAGTCTGAGTCTGATTATTTCTCACAACCTTGCCAATACTTTTAAGTCAAAATAAACAAAATGTAAAGAATGCTAACTTTTTGGTTGAAGAGCTCTGATCACACTAGCATTAATTCCCCATAAGATATATTCATAAACATTTACCATAGCATGTGTCCCAACATACACAACAGAATGCATAATTTTTTAATAAAATATTATCAATGTGTGATGTTTGCACAACATGAATTCAGCATGGCAATAATACATTTCTATTAGTTAGATCATCTAATTCACTAGAAATATCTTCTTTTCTCAACTATCCAAAAAAGTAACAGTCAGTTCTAAAAATGTTTACACTAAAAAAAATGAGACAGCATAAAAAACAACAATTGCAGATGGCTGGGGAATATGCCCTTAACAAGATGCTCATTTAACAAAGTGTATGATCCTTTGTTTGGAAGATATCTAAATGATTTCCATTGACCAATATCAATTGAAAGAAACATTTGGTTTTCTGAAACAGGTGACAATGGAATGTACAATGCTTTGATTGATTGACAGTAATAATTAAGTAAATGATTGTTCTACATTTTTTTTTGGACAAATGTAAAGAAATATCCAGTGTCTGGTTGACTTTAATAATATCATAATATAAAATATTTTTTTTTAAAACCTCGTAAAAATGACTTACAAAATATTTTTAAAATGCACGTCTGATATGACCAGTTTTGTAAATAAAACATCTATGGTTAAAATTGCACTAATTTATGACAAATGTTCGGCATTATTGTCGAGAATCAAACATTCATCTTTATGACATTTGTCTCAATGTTAACTGCTTTTGTTCAAGACATCTGTCTCCAGATAAAAATGTTCAGGACATTTGTTTTTCCAGATAAAAATGTTCAGGACATTTGTTTTTCCAGATAAAAATGTTCAGGACATTTGTCTTGAGATAAAAATGTTCAGGACATTTGTTTCCAGATAAAAATGTTCAGGACATTAGTGGAGATAAAAATAATTTTTGTTAGGGACGACTGACCCAAGACAAATATTTGATACAGTTACCTCAGATCTTTTGACTAGACACATATAAACAACAAACTATAAGATGGTGCTAAGCTTGTCCACATAGGGCACAGGAACACAACCAATCATCAGGCCTTCTAGAGTTAGAAAGACATTTTTTGTAAGTTACCTACTCTGTTTACTAACAAACATCCATCACAAGACAAGTGAAAACTCTTTAGGTGATGGTTTGTTACAGAAGGGCAGGCTCTAAACATCACATTGATTGCTAGTTAATCTACACCTTTTGTTAGCTCCCCTGTCACTAGCATGTCAGTCAGTTCATTCATGAATCTGATTGACATGCCTTACTGTTATTACATGCATGAATCTAAATGGCATGCCTTACTGTCAGTTAATTCATGAATCTGATTGACATGCCTTACTGTCAATTTATTCATGAATCTCAACTCAGTGACATGACTAGTTGATGGATTTAATCTCCATTACATGGCCAGATTGTCTGTTCTTGAATCTTTAGAATGATGTGACACAGATGAATGGACCAAAAAACAGCTGAGCTATGAATCTATGTCCTCAGTATTGACTAGACTGCTACAGATCTGTCCACTGGTGGAGCAAGCATCCATGTGGCCGTGGGCTGGGACCTTGCAGGGGACCCCAGGCCAACTCAGGTGTTTGACGTGACCCTTGGGTGCGCTGTGAATACTGGCAGGTAGCAGGACGCTGGAGGGACTGTGGTACTGCGAGGCCCGGGCCGGCTTGAAATTGCATGTGACGACGCTGCTTGAGCCGCTGGAGATGGTGATTGTTGCCTCTGAGGTCGGGTGTTGGTCAGTCGTCACATTGGGCAGCCCAACGTCCGCTGAATGCTGAGTGTTGCCAGAGTCGCCTCCCCCTGCCATCTGGCAACGATGCAAGCTCAGCGCAGAGTGTTCTGGGTCACAAACTATATGGACTTCTTTTTCCCCGTTGGCACCAACCCTGGTCTCCACCAGGAGGGGCTGGTCGCTGCTGATGCTACTACTGCGGGACGAGCTGGTGGATGAGCTGCGAATACAGAGACCTACAGTCTCGTCATCGCTCAGTGAGACGGAGTGGGTTCTGTCCGCATCACAGTCCAGAACATTCTCTGACAAGTGGGCAGTGTCCAGCTGGGTGGACCTTTCAACACTGCCAGACTTTGCATCAGCCCCTCCTTCTCTGGCAGCAATCACCTTGGCTTCGTGCTCAGCTTTTGCTTTCTTGTTTTGTTCTCTGATGTCTATGACCCGTGTGGGTCTGCCGGGTCTCATTATAATAAATCTACTGGGACCTGGTAAGTGAAAACAATTTATTAGAGATAGATTACAAATTTATTTGTCATACAGAGTATAGTAAACATTGTATTTAGATGTCAACCCATTTATTAATTAAGTTAATGGTTATGTAAAAATGGTATGATTGTAAGTAAAGCTCCTCTTTAGACCTAGAAATTCATTGGGCAGATGAAGTAGAGTTCATGTTTCTTTACATTAGCATATGACGGGATGGTGTGGTCAGCACAATGCCCAACCGCCCTTTCTTTCTCTAATATAAATCAGGTACCCATTAGAGCTGGTGGGCTCAAGAATGTCCTACATTCACTAATCATAATTGAGATTGAACTCAAGATTTTCAGGATAACAGACAAAATATAATGTTGTGAAAAAGCCCCCGTTCTAGAGAAATATATGTCTAGAGGCTTTAGTCCAGGCTCTTTGGGCGATAAAGATAAAAAAATTAAGAAGACGAAAAATTGATTAAAAATCACAACTTGCCTGACATGATGTCTTCACCGTACCAGTTACTGGGTGTTAATGTGGAGAGGGGAGGGAGTGGAGGGGACTCGTCCACCGAGGCCTCAGCGCAAGCTATGTGACCGTGGATGTCCTTTTTTCTCTGCTGCTTATTCCAGGGGCAGAACAAGCTGATGGACACCCTCTGTTTACATAGTGGACATCTGTTGGACATCTTGACCAGCCACCTGTCCACACAGTAACTGTGGTAGCCTGCAATCAGAGGTGGGAATCTACATATTACAAGTATCAGTCACTTTTTAAGGGGTGCAACTGAGTACTACACATTATAAACAAGTACAAAAACTAATCATACAAGACAGATGTTAGAACTTTAATCTAACAAACTCTGACAACATCTTACAGATACTGAAGTCCTGCAATTTTATTTCAAATATTTACAGTTAAATTATAATATACATAGATAAAGGTTAAGTATATGAGCACTATATGTAGCACTAATTATAAACGTACAGTGGTTGCAGGGCAGCTGGCGTATAAGGCGTCCTTCATTAAACTCTTCATGACAAATAGGACATTTGTCCTGGCAGTCATCTGAAAGTATCACAAAAAGATGTTAAATTAATCCGTTATTTGGCTGTCTACAGCTTTGTTCTAGCAGTTGAAAAGTTCATTTTAATAAATACATGATTAATATATACATTAGGAAATACAGAAGATAAATATAACTATTTTATTAGATAGGGCAAAAAATAGATAATATGGTAATAACCAATGAATTATATTTTTCTATGACAGGTACTCATTAAAACTGGGTGAGCTCAAATGTACCTTATGGCTCTAATCAGGAACCAGAATAAATACTTAGACTGGCAATGATGAGTTGTAACCCCCCAATGTTTTCTAGCTGTGCACCCAGTTTGTTGATTAACAAAGACAAACAGTAAATCACATGACATAGTGGCCAGGGGGAGCCGCTGACAAACTTACCGCCCTCTGTCTTTTGAAACCTCTTGAGGGGAATCCTTTTTACCTCCCATCTGGTTAAAGACCGTCCACAGCACCCCCATTTCTGAAGGGACAAATGTAACTATAAATAAGTAGAGGGCAATGTATCAGTGGCTTCAAACAGAAAAGGTATTAGTATAAATCACACACACACACTGCACTAGCAAACACTTCAGTTAATGTACTTCAGTTTATACAAGAACATACACTACAACAGCAAAAACATTTTTACACTATTTTTTTATATTAACATTTCAAATATATATCATTGTAAAGATTGTTCTATAGATCTTAAATAGATATTTCATAACTCTCTACAAAGCAAAAAAAATTCTTTAAATTCATCATTATCAAAATCATTCACGTAAAATTTTAATTTATCATAGATGCTGACGGAAATAAGAATTTCCTCCTAGCATTTCATCCGTGACAGGCGGACAAGTTAACTAATAGAAACTATAAGGGAGATTACCACTGAGAGTGCGATGAGACTGCTGACCACCACACAAGCCCAGATGTAGATGCAGATGTGGAAGTAATGTTCCCCAAACAGATCCTCGTCGTTGCTCTCTGACCCCTCATCCTGCTCGTTGTTTGACCCCTGGACTTGCACGTGAGATGTGGTCTGGGTGAGGATTGTCAGCAAGGGAGGCCTGCTAGGTAGTGGTCAGTGAACAGAAGAAACATGTTCAGCTAATGATGGTCAGCATCATTACAGCTAATTAATTATCTAATTAATTATCTAATTAAACCCTGAAGAATTTTGTTTAAATATTCAAACATGTTCAAGTAGTCGTTTAAATGAACATAATCTAATTTTTTGTTTAAATAAACAAACATGTAGGCCTACAAGTAATAATTCAAATAAACATAATCCATACTTTTTTAAAAAATAAAACGCCTTTTAAAATTGTATTAAAAACCTAGCCTTCTATGTGCTACTGCTAACCCAACCCTCTCTCCACCTAAAACACAGCTCAGTGTTGTCTTGAGCTAAGCTGAAACTATGAACACATTTCAAGCTCACTAAATGCTTACCTAGAAGAGTTTGCAGGTATAGAAGATACAATCGTTCCACTGGTGAAGTTTATAAAATAACCCGGGACTGTAAAAATAAATTAGACTATTTGATTTTTTTCTAAGAAGAACACATTTTATTTTTAAAATGTTAAAATAAAGATATAAAACTTAACGTAAGTCTGTGTCAGCAACCAAACATTGTTACTCACTAGGGGGCTCCATAGCCATCTGGACAAGATGCCTCACACAAACAAACAATGCTGCTGTTACCACAGCTAGAGCCAATCAAATCCTAGAAAAGAATTTATAAAATATAAAACTTTCATCTAGAGAAATGTTACTATTCAAACAAAAGCTGGGTGTATTTAATGATATTTTTCACTAGCATTACTACTTAACCAAAAACTAATACTATCATATTATGTTCTATTCCTGCCTGAATTTTGATATGAACCAGAAAATTTCAATCATGTTTCACCAATTAATGTGGCCTAGAGGTAGAGCGCTGCACTACTAATCTGAAAGTCTGGGTTATTTTTAGTAGAACAATCCTAAGTCTATCCAGCTCTGATAGGTACCTAATTCATGTTAGGGAAAGTAAAGGCGACTGGGCATAGTTCTGGCCACACTATTCCTTCATATGCCAATTACACAGAAACAGGTGAACTCTACTTCACTTACCCCATGGACTGACAGGTTCAAAGGAAACTTCTTTTTTCACCAATTAACACTGAAAATGTAAGGACTTGTTTGCTGACTGCTTCCATTATACTATCATCTGTGATCTCAATTTCCCAGCTTTATTTTAATAAAGTAATTCTTAATTCTTAAGCTACTTCAATAAATAAAGAAAAACCAGCAGATGAGCCCAAACAATAGGGGTTGTAAGTAGGTCACCAACTTCTTATCATACTAGCCAGCTAGTATTTTTCAAACCAATTGTAAAGATTTCAAATTTTAAGTAAGAGAAGCAAAGTGACTTACAAGCCCTATTACTATTCCAATGAACTTAACCTAACAAGCTGACCACTCCTAATTTTACAATAAGCAAAAACTGTAAAACTTATTTTTGTCACTTATATTGGTCACTGAAAGACAACTAGAATATTGTAGAGAAGTCATGGTCAAACTGTTTACATTGTTAGCTTAGTTAAACACATCCCACTCTATCAGCCTGTTTCATTAATCAGTTACATACCACAGTTATGATTTCTTAATAATCAATCACATTAGTTTTTTAAAGAAAAAGTATATGACTTTTACAAATATTTCTGTGTATAGCAAACTATTCAACTACAATAAAAAAAAAACTTACTACCTTTATCATTAGTTTAAAAAAAAGGTACTTACAGTTCTTGTGTGATTAAAAACTTTTTTAAATGAACTATTCCTGTATTGAAAATTTTACAATAAACTAGTTCTATATTGTTGCAGCAATAACACACAATGTCTTAACTACTTACCTTATTAAAAGATTGCCAGTGGAACGATCTGCTACCCATTAACAGGGTACAGCCATACAGTTACATACAGCTATCACAACCATCTGTGGAGAAGATATAAAGGTAATGAATATATTATAGCTGACTGACCAGCAGTTATAACAACAGGGTACAGCCATACAGTTACATGCAGCTATCACAACCATCTGTAGAGAAGATAAGGTAATGAATATATTATAGCTGACTGACCAGCAGTTATAACAAGATATTCTTCAACTCTAGTTTTTCTCTGCCCTTTGGCCTTTGACCTAATTTGTTCAACACCAAATAATAGCCATATGCTTGTATTGTTTTCAATATATATATATATATATATATATATATATATATATATATATATATATATACACACATGAGTAGGGGCACCAAATTGGGAAGTCCGCCCTGGCCGATTACTATCACTGTGCCTCTGAGTCATTGAAGTTAATGTATTGTAATGTGGCTAACTTAACCGGGCAACTAAACAGTTTGAAATGTGTCAACTAACCAATATATTTGCCTCACTAGCAGTTATAGGCCTAATATTACTAGTGTAACTTGATCTATACTTAAAGTCTGTAGGTTACCGTCTACCTATTTAATTTATTCAATAATGGTAACAACAGTAGGCAAGCCTAAATACTAAATAAAGCATGAAGAATCTTCAATTTGAACATATGAATTAAGGAATGAAATGTTGAGATGATTTATAGGCCTAATATAATTATTAATTTAACTAGGCCTATAGCCTATCAATAAAAAATAAATTAGGCCTTGTATTAGGAATCTAGTGGCTAAAAGAGTAGTAAAAATGGAAATAGCATTAGATGACTTATTAATACTTATTATATTATTGATTATTACTCAAACAGGCCTGTACATTTAAATATATTGGTCATAATATAATCATACACAAAATTACTAAATTACAAACAATGCAATTACATGTCAAAAGTGACAGATTTAAAATCATTTAAATTTTAAATGAATCAGAATCTGAAAAAATAGAAATTGAATATAAAACTAGGCCTAGAATATAGATAGGCCTATACTATAAATTAACAAATTATCTATCTTTGTCTAGGATCTAAACTAAATCTCTGTATCTGACTAGAAGCTAGACCAAGAAGATAATAAATATTATATTATTATTATGGGGGGGGGGGGGGCTAGATCGTCCAAGTATTTTTCCTGACCAAAAAATTACAAATATGTGACATTGTGAGATTGTGACTAACTAATAATTTAAAAAATAGACAGTGGGCCATAACACATACACTTCAAATTCTATGAAGATGTTAATATTTATTAAAAGAAGGTCGAACAAATTGTGATTAGTACACTTTTAAAATCGCCATTGTGGGTCGCTTTGCTCACAGCTGATAGATAACGAAAAACACTAGACTCTAGGACTACAACACTACAGTACAGTGGCCAGTCACTGGAAATGTACTTTTATTTTCCTCCTAGTCTATCTCAATTTAATAATATTATAAAATATAAAATAATCATCACGTTTTTAACTAATTGTATTAATGGTATACACTACTCTTAACGCAAATTAAAAAATGTAAATCACTAACATGTGACTTTTAAAGTATCAAATCCATTCCGTGAATTTCTTTGTGTTGCTTTGTTGTCATATTCTCCATAAGCAGCAGCCCTCGTAATAAGGGTCATTCTGGTACACTTTATAGAGACTCCGCTCATTGGCTCCCCGAAAACGGTGCCGACTGCGGAATGACCGTGCAATCTTTTGTGAAAAAGTTTACAATCGCTTTCTTCCCTTTGTTTACGCTGTTGTTGGGGTCTATTTCGAATATCAGAAGGTTTTCATTAAAGCATTTTTAACTAATATTTACAAATTAAGTAAGCATTAAAATGTGAAAAATTGGGAGCTAAGATTAGATATCTAGAATTACTTTGCAACACAGCTACACGTTTATGACTCTGCTGATTCATTTCGGATTTTCTTTGCACTGAATCGACTGAATCTGATTTTTGAGAAAAGCGAGTGACTGCAGTGAGTTCTGAGTATCAGTACTACTAGATCAGTAGATCTAGGAATGAGTGAAAAATCAACCCACTCACACTACACTGCACTACAGATTACACATCGTGGCATTATCAGTAGGCCTAATCACCCTAATGTCACTAATCATGATCATCTAATAAAATGTCTAATGAGTTCATAAACAAATGGGACCTTTTAGTTTTAGTATTTTACTCATTACTAACCCATTATTTATTAGCCTCATAATTATATATAGATCTACTATTAACTACTATAGTTTTATTATCTAGATCTAGTAGTAATTAATATCTTAATATGCCTATTCTGTTGTTTTTAATTTTTGCTTGTTTTCAATTTAGGTTAGTTAAGGAGTTTAGGTTAGTTTGTTAAAATTTTAAAATATAAGTTGTTACTTGGTAGGGCCTGTAAATTATGATTAATAATAATTAAATATTAGCCTAATAGGCCTAATAATAGTAATTAATTAATAATATTAACTTGGATTATACCTGGAGATCTGGATCAGAACCCATTTTTAACTTTTAAAATATAACTTTTATTGAATTACAGTTGAAACTATCAAATTATGAAATAGAGTTATCAAACACCCATGTCTTATCATTAAAAATAGATTGTTAAATTTTAAAATTGCCTACACCAGGGGTCTCCAAACTACGGCCCGCGAGGTCCTCTCATCCGGCCCGCGGCGATCTTTTTGTCCACGGAAAAAACGTTTGTTGCTGATAGCTGAGGAACTTTGCCCAGAAAAATCAAAGACATGTCTGGAATAAACTGGCCCCCGAACTGAAAATTTATAGTTAAAGCGGCCCTCGGACTGAAAAGTTTGGAGACCCCTGGCCTACACCATGAGCAGAGTTTCTTCCAGGCATCTCTTCAGGGGGGCAACGCCCCCCCCCCCCCCCCCCCCCCAATTTTTTTTTACACATTTTGCACATTGTGTGTGTGTTGAAATGTAAGCCTACATACTACAGTGCACACCCCCCCCCCCTTTCCTGAAAGTTCTTAGTATTCAATATTTTAACCAAACTACTGTATACAACACGAGCATCATTTGAATTGATTAATGTGATGTCTGGATTTGTGGATCTCATGCAGTAGTAAGCTACATCCTTAAAACATAGCCCTACTTATGATGAGTATCAGGTTGGCTGTGCAGTCTGTCATACTAGACAATGTTATTTGTTCTCAGCCAGCACCGTGTCACCTCCACACCTCAGTGGCTCCGCTAGTGTGAGGCTAGGGACAGATGACACCATAGCGTGACAGCTGACACCATTGGGTTATGGCAATGGATACTTCTGTGCACGTTGTTAAGGTCAAGGTCAAAGTTTAAGGTAATGTTTTTCTGCTTTTGTTCTTGTTTATTTTTTTACGATATTAAATTTTTAAAATACTAGTTGACACATCTATGTACTATATATTGAACGTTTTTCTGGGGTGCTTTCCCCTGGCACTTGTTAAGTTACCAATGAGCTGCAAGAACGCAGGGTTAGATCTGCATGCCTACAGTTATTAAGGGGCAGCTCTGCAGTATTTATTTAACTCATTATTTTTTTTTTAGTTTTTTTCACTTCCTTCATGCTCCATAACCCTGATTTTTTTTTTTCATTAACACTAATGACGAAATGTACAGACATATTAATTATGAATTCCCATAGACGAAATCAGTACCATTTATTTACTCTCATCATACATACGTAGCCTAAATGACGTCACACAAGTTTACTTTTAACCTAATTTTACTTTTACCACCACTACCTTTCGCGCTACAAAATTCAGTTCCCACCCACGCCATCCCCTAAAATAAAGCTTCGTTTTAAAAGCTGCAACAGGTTTTCAACTAAATGTGTAGTGTGTCTACGTCATATTTCTTAACCCCGACATGAATTTGGGTGTGGATTTGCCTGCTTGGACAGCAAAGTTAAGAAATCACATCAAACAATATAGTATGGGGGGGGGGGGGTGCAGGTAATTAAATAAACCTACGCGTTCTATTAATTAAAGCTACTGCCTTCACGTAACAATTTTACGTCACATATTTTTAACCGGTCATTCCACAAACCTTAGGTTCTATAAGGAACGCGTGCAGATAGTTTCGTTCAGAAAGGGTGGGGGGGGGGGCACTTAAAATTTCCAGGGGTGAAATAAAGTATATATTGATCTATAACTTAGGCCTGTATATTCTTCTATTACGTGGAGGTGGATAGGGGCGGTGCGGTGGGAGAGATGCCTGAAAGAAACACTGCGTGCCTGTCAATATAACAGAGGCGTAGCGAGGTGGGGGGACGGGGACGACATATGTCCCCGGGCGCCGACCTTAGGGGGCGCCAAAATGGGTTGGAAAAATAAATTGAAAGCTTGAAGGGGGGTGCAAATCGAAAGTCTCAGGGGGTGCAAATCGAAAGTTTGTCCCCGGGCGCCTGGAAGGGTCGCTACGCCTCTGCAATATAGTGTTCTACAGAGTTTTATTTTTTGTTTCGCTGTTAGTGTTTGGACTTGAGTTAGATTTAATTTTCAGAGCTGTGGCATTCTTAGAACTAGTCCTGCTACACTAACTCTGCCCTACCGCGATCACATACACGCTGTAGTGGAAGTGTTTGCTCGTGAGTTTCTGTACGTTCATTCATCTGATGGTTGCTGAAGGGGGGGGGGGGCAGTTTGTGACGTCACACTCCCGTGGAGTAGGAGGTTGATGTTTTTGCGGAGATGTGTGCCTATATGGTGGGAGGGGGGGGGGGTGTAAATAAGCTGACGTGGCTGTTACTTTATTCCTGAAATATTTAGGGCAAGCGGTGAATTGAATTTGTAACATCGTTTAATTAAGCGGTGGGGGAGTAGCTTTTTTAAGAGTATAGGGAGTTAGGTTAAATTGGTTTGAAAGCGCTTATCTGAGTAAATTTATAACCCAAAACGTCAAATTAATCCGATATTTAAAACAGCCACCATCTAGTTACGATATTTTAGTACCCATACCTCGAATATAATAAGGCTCAACGAGGTATATGTTACTCTTAGTTTCCGGTACATGACAAGTATACACCAGTAGCCCCCCCCCTTCCCCATATACACCATACAGGTATACAACAGTAGCCGCCCCCCCCCCCCCCCCGGCCGTTTGTTTGGTCTACACGCGCTGGGCGTTTGTTCTGGTGCTATTTTTAGGCCGCCTCTACCTATATATGCCAGATTCTTCCTGCCCACCGCAAGCTTCAAAGTTGGGTGGGTGGCGGTTTGTGGTCTCTTGCTGGTTTCATTCGAAACCAAATCTAAACAAACTGGTTTGGTCACATTCTGAAGCTGGAGGTCAGTGTCTTTGTTTTTATTGTTGTTGAATTTTCATAGTCTCAGTGTGTAGGCATCCTTTGCATTGTGTATATATATATATATATATATATATATATATATATATATATATATATATATATATATATATATATATATATATATATATATATATATATATATATATATATATATATATATATATATATATATATATATATACATATACATATACATACTTATAGGCCTACACGTTGTACTGCAAACAATGCATGCAGATAGATGGTTCTTGTTAGTCTTATGTTGTGCCCTCCATAGTGATGTAAGTGAAATTACCTTAACCTGCGGTAAAATCAATATGTGTATATCATCGTTAGTATTACTGGCCTCCGTTTGACCGCAACCTAAATAGTTGACATGACGTCATCTGAGCATAAAAACTGTTGTTGATAGCAGGTGTGAGCGCATCTCCCAAACTCTGCCGTTGATTTACCTCTGATTTACCTGTCGCCTGCATATCCTCCGTCACGCATCGTTTCGTTTAGAATGGCTGGTAATAGTTAAGTTCACTGGTGGTAGGCGGAACCAAACGACCCAGGCTTCAACTGCGTGTTATGGGTGGTTTATGGTAGAGTTTATTATCTTTTTGTGAGTAAAATCAGTACAGAAATTTCTTGTTTATGCGACATTGAATTTTTTTGTGCTACGTCATCATTGAAAGTTTGATTAGGGCCTATTTGTTAAGGGGGTTTAATCCAAAGACAGAGAATAGAAATTAGAATGTTTTTCTGCTGTCAGTGATTTCGTATTGGATTTTGTTTAGTGATATATTAGTGCACGATTATAACAAAAGTCTGGATGTCCCACTGTCCTCCACATTTATTATGGGTACCTGACTCGAGTTGGGGAAAGTAAAGACTACTTGGCTAAGACCACGATTAGCCATCGTAGGTCGAGGTCGCAGCGACAGGTCAACTCTACTTCATCTACCTTATTGACCACCAGGTCCGAAAGGGTACTTTATTTACTTTGATTAGGCATAACCTGACGCGAATACTTTCTTATATTGGCTGTTTATTTCGTTGAAATAGAAAGAAATATTTGTTTTAGAAAATATAAGTTGCAACCAAAGTCCGTCACCCAAAAATTTAAGCTTCCCCCGCTTCCCCAGGGAAAATGTCTGAAAGAAACACTGTACACTGTACACTACCCAACTTCGCGTTACAATAGACCACCCCACCTCTACCTACAAACCACCCGCCTGTGTCTGCACAATAGAGCCTGTCTCACACTCCAGCTGTTGAGCGGTGAACAAAAACCTACAATGAAAATATCAATGTGTTTTAATACGTGTTCTATAAATAGCTTGTGTAGGCCTATTGGTTGTTGTTGTTTTTTTTAATTGTTTTTTTCCTAGCTATGTGCCGTCTGCGGCATATGTTTACACGAGATTTGTAGACACCACCACCCCCTCCCCCACTTTCATTAGCTTTTCACATATAAAATTACTAGATTAAAACTAGTGTTCTATGTTTACTGACAAACTGACCCGTCCTTTGATCATGAGGGGATAGACGGAATGACCACTTTACTGCAACGGACAAGACGTTTCCGTCGTCCGGCTTAAATTTGCCTGGATTTTACCAACACACTATCCAAAACATTTTGATGGTTTATTTCCCTTCGTTCAGATTTCTTCCTAGCCGATTTAATGAAAGTCCCTTGCCTTACCTCCCTTTGTGTTTGAGTTCCACTCTTTTGGTCCACTTTTGTGGGCCCCTCAAACGAATAGTGCATATATATATATATATATATATATATATATATATATATATAAGACCAGGCCCCAATCACAAATAAAATCCTCCCGTCTATTGGGCAAGTGATGAGACACATCTCTAAAACTAGGCTATCCCCCACCCCCACCATCCTACGTAAGAAATTGTTTTTCTTCCTTTTTTTCTTTCAATTATTAAAAAAAGCTATCACATCACGCCATTATATTTACTCAAAAATTAATCAACTAATTATAATCCCGAGGTGTTTTCGGGAATGACTTCCGTCTAAAGTCCCAGCACGGATCAAGTTTAAGCAGTTCCAGACCTGCTCGTGTCGTCAAAAGTGCTACCACGTTTGATTTCATCCCATTGTTTTTGTTGTCCCGATCCACATATCGATTCAACTAACGCGGTCGCTCAAACAAATCAAGAACACACAAAATGGCGCGGCTCCTCCGTTTGTGTTCGGATATTCCCGGATGGTCGTTTTCCCATCACTTGTTTACTGCGTGTTTTACCCGTCATCCGTGAGCTCACTTTAGTGTGTGGGGTTCGGTCAGTGGCGTTGGCAGAGGATGTTAGAGAGGGGTATAGCCCCTCCCCCCCTTCCATGAACCTTCAGAATGCGAGTTGTCTGACGTCAAGTTCAGATGTTGATGACATCCCGCTCGTGCCGTTTTATGTTGAGAAAATCATTTGACGAATATATCTGTCTGTCTGTCTGTCTGTCTGTCTGTCTGTCTGTCTGTCTGTCTGTCTGTCTGTCTGTCTGTCTGTCTGTTTGTCTGTCTGTTTGTTTGTCTGTCTGTCTGTCTGTCTGTCTGTCTGTGCCTGTCTGTGTCTGTCTGTGTGTCTGTTTCCGTACCTGACCAAGACACGTGGGACAGATAAAGTAGAGTTCATCAGTTACAATGACCTCGCCATACAAGGGGATAATATGGTCAGCACCATGCCCAGCCAGCCGTCTTTGTTTTCTTAACGTGAGTTAGGTACCCATCAGAGCTGGGTGGACTCAGGGACTTTCTACTGATTTGAACCCGGATTCGAACTTGAGACTCTCAGGATAGCAGTCTAGCGCCGTCCCCAATATATTCACATTGTCATATATATATATATATATATATATATATATATATATATATATATATATATATATATATATATATATATATATATATGTTAATTTCTGCCTATGCTACTGAGCTTTTGTTATATCGCAATACTCATCAAGTGGTTATTGCAAGTTAAAAAAAAATTCATATGAAATCTGAAGGCACTTAAGAATTTCTGATAATAATAATAAAAAATACGCATGTAATTAATTTCTTGCAAGCTGTTGGCGTCGTGTTTTTGTACAAGTATTTATAAATGATGCGACTGTCCCAATTTTGAAATTCAATGTGTTGATGAGATGTGTACATAGTTGTAGCGCTATAGTTTCTGGCAATGTTTCAATAAGTTGATCTGGCCACCTTGAGTTTCTGAGACGGCGCCCAATCTTAGTAGGGGTCTTTAGTAATTACACCCCTTACCTCCATACTGGATATTGTCACGCACAGAGTTTTCTGCCCACCCCCCTCCCTCCGAAAATATCAAGTGCCCCCCCCCCCCCCCCCCCCCGGAGAAAAAAGTCTGGAAAAAACACTGGTCACGCAAACGCAGCAACACCCCCCCTCCTCCTCCTCCCACCTAAATAAAAGTTCCGTTTTAGACTAGATAATGTATGGGACTGGTGAAGTAGAGTTCATCTGTATCTCAGACATCGGTTTATGTGAGGATAGTGTAGCCAGCACTACACTTAGTTTTCTCGGATATATGTCTAAACCATGTTCCACAAACCGAACCCCAGACTTCCGAGTTTGTAATCGTGCGTTCCGTCTCTTGGCCACCCTTTTTCTTTTAAAATACAAAATGTATTTTTAGACCAATTTTAACTCCCCTCACGTCACAGATTGTCACAAAATTCAGACCCTCCTCACTTTAGTGTCACAATATTCAGACCCTCCTCACTTTAGTGTCACAATATTCAGACCCTCCTCAGGGGTTGGGGTGTTAAACCTAAAAGTCCCGAGTTCGAAACCCCGATACAATGCTCGATAGATGGATACAGCAAATCATCTAGGAGAGAAAACTTCAAATATCAAACAACTGCTGCCTTGTAGTTTGTTCTTTGTTGAATGGAGGCTATGGAAGCAAATCCAAAAAGAAAAGCAGACTGAAACAGGAATCAATGGCATAACAGGTTGACAACTAATACTCATTTGTGTCGAGGGAAAGCCCGTTCAACTGAGTTCAACATAATAATTAATTAAGATGGAAGATGACGACCCTCCTTATTTAATGTCACAAAACTCAGACCCTGTTTGACGTCACTTGTGTGCTCTCTCCCCTCCCAACTCTAGACTTAACTGGTTTATGCTAATTTGGTCCTGGCGACTGTCCACTGCCCGCCATTTAATTTGGTCCTGGCGACTATGAAGGTCCACTACCAGCCATTGATCGTGATTGTACCAATCAAACTTTGTTGGCTGCACTGATACAAAGCTGTTCACGCATGACTGCGTCGATACAACAACTCGACTGGTCGAGTTAGTCACAGCTGTGACGGAACTAGTTTTATCGCTACTTTGTTCTGACATTTTATAACCTTGTTAGTACTTTGATATAACATTCGTAAACTTACCATTGTATTACATTTTTTTATATAAAAAGTACTTGGACTGTTGTTTTTTAAGTCTTAAGTGCTAAAACTTTGTTTTTACTACAACCCAATACTACCCAATACACTACAACCCAATACACTACAACCCAATACACTACAACCCAATACACTACAACCCAATACACTACAACCACATACACTACAACCACATACACTACAACCCAATACACTACAACCCACTACCACCCAATGCACTACAACTCACTACAGCCCAATACACTACAACCCACTACAACCCAATACACTACAACCCAATACACTACAACCCACTACAACCCACTACAACCCAATACACTACAGCCCAATACACTACAACCCACTACAACCCACTACAACCCAATACACTACAACCCACTACAACCCAATACACTACAACCCACTACAGCCCAATACACTACAACCCACTACAACCCAATACACTACAACCCACTACAACCCAATACACTACAACCCACTACAACCCAATACACTACAACCCACTACAACCCAATACACTACAACCCACTACAACCCAATACACTACAACCCACTACAACCCAATACACTACAACCCACTACAACCCAATACACTACAACCCACTACAACCCAATACACTACAACCCACTACAACCCAATACACTACAACCCACTACAACCCAATACACTACAACCCACTACAACCCAATACACTACAACCCACTACAACCCAATACACTACAACCCAATACACTACAACCCAATACACTACAACAAAGTTCACCAACTGTTAATGTACGTCAGACTAATGAGGTTAAAGTGTTTAGATAAACTACGTTGTTGTTGTTTTTTACTGCTGGAGGTCAAGATGAGTAAGAATATGTTGGGACATAGGATACACATGACCGTTGTGTGGATGTGCTGGTGGCGGAGGGATGTGGGGGAGGGATGTGCTGGTGGGGGAGGGATGTGTTGGTAGAGGAGGGATATGTTGATAGGGGAGGGATGTGTTTTTAAGGGGAGGGATGTGGGGGAGGGATGTGTTGATAGGGGAGGGATGTGTTTGGTGGGGAGGGATGTGGGGGAGGGATGTGTGGGAGGGATGTGTTGGTAGGGGAGGGATGTGTTTGGTGGGGAGGGATGTGGGGGAGGGATGTGTTGGTAGGGGAGGGATGTGTGGGAGGGATGTGTTGGTAGGGGAGGGATGTGTTGTTAAGGGGAGGGGTGTGTTGGTGGGGGAGGGATGTGTTGGTTGGGGAGGGATGTGTTGTTAAGGGGAGAGATGTGGGGGAGGGATGTGTTGATAGGGGAGGGATGTGTTGGTGGGGGAGGGATGTGTTTGGTGGGGGAGGGATGTGTTGGTGGGGGAGGGATGTGTTGTTAAGGGGAGGGGTGTGTTGATAGGGGAGGGATGTGTTGGTGGGGGAGGGATGTGTTGGTGGGGGAGGGATGTGTTGGTGGCGGAGGGATGTGTTGGTGGCGGAGGGATGTGTTGGTAGGGGAGGGGTGTGGTGGTGGGGGAATGTGTAGATGGAAAGATGTTTTGATGGGGGGTGTGTTGGTGAAGGGATGTGTTCAACCAGAGTGTAGAGGGACGGATTGTAGCGGCACAGTAACGCGGGGGGTGGGGGGGTTATAGGGGCACGGAGGAGGAAGAAGAATGAAGAGATGCATGAAGAGAATGAGGAGAATAATATGGCGACGGTAGAGGAAACGTGAGTATCGGGTCAATATGGCGACGGGAAGAATGTGACATTCCTGGGTGTGACAGATGTCAATATCGGCAAACTGGCGAATCCCATTTCATGGCATGTGGAGTCACCATTCGATATAACATCCTCTTTGTCATCTGCTTATATTTTTGGGTATCACCATTTGATATAACATCCTCTTTGTCATCTGCTTATATTTTTGTGTGTCACCTTTCGATATAACATCCTCTTTGTCATCTGCATATAATATATTTTTGGGTATCACTTTTGGATGTCATGTTTTGGAAGGCCCCTTTTTTTAAAATCATCTTTTTAAGCCAGCCGCTTTCTTACATCGCTTATATTGGTTGATCTCATCAGATTCTAACCCGAACATCGCGTTTACACTTGCGACAAATATATTATATAGTGCGACATGTATATTATTTATTGTGACATGTATACTATATAGTGCGACATGTATACTATATAGTGCGACATGTATACTATATAGTGCGACATGTATATTATATTGTGCGACATGTATACTATAAAGTGCGACTTGTATACTATGTATTGCGACATGTATACTATATAGTGCGACATGTATACTATGTATTGCGACATGTATACTTTACATGTCTAAAAAAGAAAACCCACAGCAGGTACATATACATGTTCCGTAGATAAGAAGTTTTCATAAAACATTAACTTTTTGCGAGTTTTTTCTAGACATGTATAGTATACATGTTGCAAGTATAAACTCGGTGTAACCCAAACTACGCGATAAGCACAACTAGCTGTGATCTGTTCTTGTACCATATGCCTGGGCAGAAATGTATATGCCTGCTGACACAGCAGACGACCAATGTGGGTTCTGTCAGATTTGAGTACTGACTCAAAAAAAAACACGCATCAGCTGACACGTGAAATACATTGTTGTATTGTGATACATCCTAGCAAGAACGGGAACATGGTCCTACAGGACTATCTAAGAGGGCATCCAAGCGACACCTTACGGCCAATCTAAGAGGGCATCCAGCGATATTTAAGGGCAATCTAAGAGGGCATCCCAGCTTCCATCACTGACGTCACACTCCGGTTAGATGGGGGTTGGTTTGGGCTTCACTGACGAATGTGTGTGTTCGGGGGGGGGGGGGGGGGGATAAAAGCACTACGTAGCAATTTTTTTTTTAATTAAACAAAACTGAAAATCATTAATGTGTGTGTTATGGTTATTTGTTAGATATGGCGCACTTTTTTTTGTTGTTAGGCGATATGCCTAGGTGGATATCGGCTGAAAGAAAAAAGAGAAAGACATGACATATTCTTAATTAACTAACCACTTTTTGTTCTTTCCATTTCTCTTCCCCCCCCCCCTCCCCCCCCCCCCCCCCCCCACATTTCTCTTTCCTACTTTTTGTGGTGTCCGCCGTCTCTACCTTTCCATTTCAATGTGAAAAAATATTTTGTTGAAGTATGTAGTTTTTTGCCAGCCGCTAGATCACGGAATCAATCACATCTCCAGAAACCTTTAGTCATCGAACATTATTTACGTGGCTATTTATAGCACATTTCTTATAACACTAGCGCAGTTTGGTGTGCTGAAATTTACCGTGTGCTGATGGTATGCGTGTGTTTTCTGTGTGATATAAGGTGTGTCTGTGATATCAATTGGTTCTGTAGGCTATCAAATGTGTCTTTGGGATATCAAATGTGTCTCTAGGATAATGTATGTGTCTTTGGGATATCAAATGTGTAGGATATCAAATGTGTCTCTAGGATATTGTATGTGTCTTTGGGATATCAAATGTGTCTCTAGGATAATGTATGTGTCTTTGGGATATCAAATGTGTAGGATATCAAATGTGTCTCTAGGATATTGTATGTGTCTTTGGGATATCAAATGTGTCTCTAGGATATTGTATGTCTTTGGGATATCACATGTGTCTCTAAGATATTGTATGTGTCTCTAGGATATTGTATGTGTCTTTGGGATATCAAATGTGTCTTTAGGATATCACAAAGGTCCATGGGATATCAAATATGACTTGATCATGTCGATTTTATCCCCAGTTTTTGGTGACCTACTAGTTAAAGAATCTGTTGTCTTTTAAATGTTGTACCTAGAGTCGAGATGGCAAAATCAAAAGTACACCTCTACAAATGTATAATAACAAGCACCCCCTACCAATCCCCACAAAATATCCACCACAAAATCCTATTTAATTTTGTTCAAGAGTGAACTAAGTTTACTAAGTTACTGAATTTATCATTCACAATGTTTCTTCTACAAATTAATTACAGCATCATAGCCTCACTATGATGCTAAGCCACATACTGTACTGTATTTATTTTTTCTCAAACTCAAGTTTTTCCCAACTTCAGCAGATCGCCCTCCATGCCCAGTGAGTACCTGATGACCTTCTGACCTCTCCACTGACCATCATGGGCAACACCGTGCAGGTCACGCACCCTTACATTGTGGACGAGTTTGATTCCGATGATGATGATGTCACCTATGAGAGCGCTCCGGAATCCCACGAGTACAACCGACTGCGTCAAAGTAATGCCACAACTGGTACTTTATATACAGCCTGTTGTCTAGCACAACTGGTACTTTATATACAGCCTGTTGTGTAGCACTGCTGGTACTTTATATACAGCCTGTTGTGTAGCACTGCTGGTACTTTATATACAGCCTGTTGTCTAGCACTGCTGGTACTTTATATACAGCCTGTTGTCTAGCACTGCTGGTACTTTATATACAGCCTGTTGTGTAGCACAGCTGGTACTTTATATACAGCCTGTTGTGAAGCACAGCTGGTACCTTATATACAGCCTGTTGTGTAGCACAGCTGGTACTTTATATACAGCCTGTTGTGTAGCACAGCTGGTACCTTATATACAGCCTGTTGTGTAGCACTGCTGGTACTTTATATACAGCCTGTTGTGTAGCACAGCTGGTACTTTATATACAGCCTGTTGTCTAGCACAGCTGGTACTTTATATACAGCCTGTTGTCTAGCACAGCTGGTACTTTATATACAGCCTGTTGTCTAGCACAGCTGGTACTTTATATACAGCCTGTTGTGTAGCACTGCTGGTACTTTATATACAGCCTGTTGTGTAGCACTGCTGGTACTTTATATACAGCCTGTTGTGTAGCACAGCTAGTACTTTATATACAGCCTGTTGTGTAGCACAGCTAGTACTTTATATACAGCCTGTTGTGTAGCACAGCTAGTACTTTATATACAGCCTGTTGTGTAGCACAGCTAGTACTTTATATACAGCCTGTTGTGTAGCTAGCTAGCCAATGCATTTTTCCTTCAGTATCACAATGTTGCTTTCATCAGAGTTGATTTAAATTAACCCAGTATGTCTTTAAGTTATACTTAACATGTATAGTGAGTAACTCTCTGGAATTCATTAGCTGAGTTAAGAGGGGGCGAGGGGTTAAAGAAATGGCTGCTCAGATATATAAATATAATATTGATTTGTAGACTGATATGTATATATTTAGTTAGACATTTACATAGCTATTGACATAGATATTTACATAGCTATTGACATAGATATTTACATAGCTATTGACATAGATATTTACATAGCTATTGACATAGATATTTACATAGATATAGATATTTACATAGATATTTACATATTTACATAGATATTTACATAGATATTTACATAGATATTTACATAGATATTTACATAGGTATTTACATAGATATTTACATAGATATTTACATAGATATTTACATAGATATTTACATAGATATTTTCATAGATATTTACATAGATATATAGATATAGACAGATTAATTTATTCTTATAACATATAAAATTGTTAGTTTACAAAATTCACTATTTTAAAAATAAAAATTCTATAACTGATACAACTATTCCCCACTGATGTAATTTAATGCGAGACAATTGTCATAATGAGGGTCAATCAGAAGAAAGTAAGGGGGGGGGGGGGTCTAACACCCACCATGCCTACACTTCTAGTGTATTACATGATTAACCCCAGACCCTAAAATCCTAAAGACTAAGTTGGATATTTTCACCCCCACATACCTATGTAAACAATATCACATGATCCAAGTTTGTTCCAGAGGCGTAGCGACCACTCCCGGCGCCCGGGGACAAACTTTCAATTTGCACCCCCCCTCGAACTTTTCATTTGCACCCCCCCCCTCGAGCTTTTCATTTGGCCCCCCCCCCTAAGGTCGGCGCCCGGGGACATTTGTAGTCCCCCTGCCCCCCCCCCCTCGCTACGCCTCTGGCTTGTTCTATCCTTTACTGAGTCAAGGGGAATAAATTCCTGCCTAGATACAATGACTTGAAGCAGCTACAAAAGGCTTCAGAAACATTTGCAAATAGAATAGGCTGACTGCATAGCATTCCAAGATGGCTAGGAAATTTGGAGTAATTGCCCTTGTTTTGTTTTTTTTTTCCAATGTTCCATGGTTTGATTTATATGGACCTAAACCAGTTCTAAAAATAATATTAGGATTTGTGTGACCCAAATTTCTTTAGGCATCATTGAGAGTCTTCATTGTAAAAGCCATTGTGGTATATGTTGCTGTTATTTAAGGCATTTATAAGTAGGCATCTTGTGTTAGCCATAGTTTCAAGCGCTATTATTGTATAAGTCATTATTAGCATCATAAATCATAGGGAAAACTTTAAACCATTATTTCCCACTCTAGCCAAGCCTTATATTGTACAAGCCATTAATGCATACGGCCTTATTTTAAATGCCTTATTAATGCCTCTATTGTAAAAGCCACTTATGAATACATCTTTACTGTATACTCAATTTGTTTTACAAGCCACTTTTGTTAAAGTCACTATTGTTTAAGCCACTATTGTATAAGACACTATTGTATAAGAAACTATTGAATAAGCCACTATTGTATAAGCCACTATTGCTTAAGCCACTATTGCATAAGCCACTATTGCATAAGCCACTATTCCATAAGCCACTATTGTATAAGCCACTATTGTATAAGCCACTATTGTATAAGCCACTATTGCATAAGCCACTATTGCATAAGCCACTATTGTATAAGCCACTATTGCATATGCCACTATTGTATTAGCCACTATTGCATAAGCCACTATTGTATAAGCCACTATTGCATAAGCCACTATTGCATAAGCCACTATTGTATAAGCCACTATAAGCCACTATTGCATAAGCCACTATTGTATAAGCCACTATTGTATAAGCCACTATAAGCCACTATTGTATAAGCCACTATTGTATAAGCCACTATTGTATAAGCCACTATAAGCTACTATTGTATAAGCCACTATTGTAAAAGCCACTATTGTATAAGCCATTATAAGCCACTATTGTAAAAGCCACTATTGTAAAAGCGACTATTGTATAAGCCACTATAAGCCACTATTGTATAAGCTACTATTGTATAAGCCACTATAAGCCACTATTGTATAAACCACTATTGTATAAGCCACTATTGTAAAAGCCACTATTGTATAAGCCACTATAAGCCACTATTGTATAAGCCACTATTGTATAAGCCACTATTGTATAAGCCACTATTGTATAAGCCACTATTGTATAAGCCACTATAAGCCACTATTGTATAAGCCACTATTGCATAAGCCATTATTGTATAAGCCACTATAAGCTACTATTGTATAAGCCACTATTGTAAAAGCCACTATTGTATAAGCCACTATAAGCTACTATTGTATAAGCCACTATTGTATAAGCCACTATTGTAAAAGCCACTATTGTATAAGCCACTATTGTATAAGCCACTATAAGCTACTATTGTATAAGCTACTATTGTATAAGCTACTATTGTATAAGCCACTATTGTAAAAGCCACTATTGTATAAGCCACTATTGTATAAGCCACTATAAGCTACTATTGTATAAGCTACTATTGTATAAGCCACTATTGTATAAGCCACTATTGTATAAGCCACTATTGTAAAAGCCACTATTGTATAAGCCACTATAAGCTACTATTGTATAAGCCACTATTGTATAAGCCACTATTGTAAAAGCCACTATTGTATAAGCCACTATTGTATAAGCCACTATAAGCTACTATTGTATAAGCTACTATTGTATAAGCCATTATTGTAAAAGCCACTATTGTAAAAGCCACTATTGTATAAGCCACTATTGTATAAGCCACTATTGTTTCAGATGGCAGCGAGGAGGACTCGGAGGATGATCACGCGGGTCAGGGCAGCTCCCAGACCCAGAAGTCTGAGACTGACCCGCAGCTGGGCCAGCTCCTGGAGGTGCTAGACAGCTTCAACTTTGAGGGCGCCCACAAGGCAGCTGCTGTCCTGAGGGACAGCCTGGTCAAGACTGACCAGAGCTCTCTGAATCAGACCAGCAGTACAGAGCCCAGGTCAAGTTATGTGGAAGGTATGCTGTGCTTTATTTCATACTTTATGGTTATATTTTTTTAATACTTTATGGTTATATTTTATTTTATTCTTTATGGTTATATTTTATTTTATACTTTATTGCTATATTTTATTTTATTCTTTATGGTTATATTTTATTTTATACTTACTTGCTATATTTTTTAATACTTTATTGCTATATTTTATTTTATACTTTATTGCTATATTTTATTTTATACTTTATTGCTATATTTTATTTTATACTTTATTGCTGTATTTTATTTTATAGTTTATGGTTATATTTTATTTTATACTTTTATATTGCTGCATTTTTTAAATACTGTATGGCTATATATTTTTTATACTTTATTGCTATATTTTCTTTATACTTCATGGTTATAATTTTTTATACTCTGTTCTAATATTTTATTTTAACATTGTATTGCTATATTTTATTGGCATGCTATAATTATTTTGGTATATTTTATTTGACTACTTTGTTTGGTACACTTATAGACATTATGTATTGCTTCACCTTATAATATTTTGGTATACTAGTGGTGTATTTTACTATTAAATTTTATTGATATACTTTATTTACCAATGAGATATTTATATCCATCTTTAACTTTTTTCTCTCATGACCTTGATTTGTTATTTTAATTGATACTTTGATGCTTACACAAGTCTTTTGCGAGAGCTCTATTTAAAAATATTCAGTTACATTTTTCTGTTTGTTAATTTGAGCTAATGGAGGAAAATAATGATTGTAGGATAGATCTTAAGGCTTTTTACCTGTTAGTCTTGAGTTCAGATATCATGCTCAAGTCAGTAGGATGTCCCTGAGTCCACTCAGCTCTGATGGGTACCTGACTCATGTTAGGGAAAGTAAAGGTGGCTGGACATAGTGCTGACCACATTATTTCCTCATATGCTGGTCAAGAAACATAAAGTCTGCTTCATCTGCCAATAGATTGTTAGGTTTAAAGAGGAATCTTTACTTTTGTGTGTGTGTGACTTGATCTTTATAAAACGTTTGTTTATTCTCTGTTGACAGTAAGCAAGGAACGGTCAACCATCTCCGTCTCGTCAGAGGAGGACCCAGCAGTTATCTCCCCTGGTATCTCCAGCAACATGAGTCTCCAGTCCTCGTTCTCATTTTCTGACCAACACAGCGCTCACCTTTTTTCTAACCAACACAGTGCTCACCTTTTTTCCCGCAATCAGAGTGCTTCCCCCGTTTACGAGAACGTGAGCGCCCCTCCAGTTCTTGAACACAGACACCCCACCCAAGCAGCGCAAGATGAGCGCACCAGTCAGTCCCTGGACACCATCTCAAACCTCCCGCTCAGCTTCTCTAACACACTCAATCAGACAAAAACAAGCTCGTCCAAGAAATCTGAAGAGGAGGTTAAAGCAGAAATCCTGGCCAAACTTGACGAAGACCTCAGCCAATTTGAGGCGGCTGAAGAAAACATCACCAGCCAGTTGTTAAACACCACAGCCACCACCCCCAAAGTGACGTCAGTCAGCTCAAAGAGGGAGAACTCTAGCTGGAGTGAAAGTAGTGTTGAGGTTACAGGTCAGAGAGCGCCGGAGAAGCAGAGAGGGTTGTCCCCCTTTGGTCGCAGCTCCCGCTCCAGGGTGTCCGGGATACCCAGGTACGGCGGCTCCTCCCACGGGAGTTCATCATCCACACGCGCCTGGGCCAGCAGCCTGTCACTGGAGTCGGAGACGGATCGGATGACTTTGGATTATTGTCCTACAGAGGTAATACATCTTTGTATAGAGGCTATGGTTAGCAATAGAGGGCACAAGAATGTTAGGGTAACCAAAGAAAGGGTTATTTAGGTTAAGGTTACCAACAAATGGGGTATTTAGGTGAAGGTCACCAACAAAGACTGCACTAAGGTTAAGGACACCAATTAAGACTGTACTAAGGTTAAGGTCAGCAACAAAGACTACTGAGGTCAAGGTCACCAATAAAAACTACTGAGGTAAAGGTCACCAGCAAATACTGTACTAAGGTTAAAGTCACCAACAAAAACTGTACTTAGGTGAAGGTCACCAGCAAAGACTTTATTAAGGTAAAGGTCACCAACAAAAACTGTACTTAGGTGAAGGTCACCAGCAAAGACTTTATTAAGGTGAAGGTCACCAACAAAGACTGTACTTAGGTGAAGGTCACCAGCAAAGACTGTACTGATATAAAACATTCAAATCTTCCCAGAGTAACGCAGTGTCCATCCACGAGTCAACAGATCATCTGGGTCAAGCTCACAGACCTGGGGAGAGCACAGCATGGGAGATCAACATTTCTGAACACACTGGACGAGCCAAGAAACAGACCAAGCGTTCAGGTCAGTAGGTCAAATCAGGTCAGGTCGGTAGGTCAGATCAGGTCAGTAGGTCAAATTAGGCCAGGTCAGTAGGTCAAATTAGGTCAGGTCAGTAGGTCAAATCAGGTCAGGGCAATTGGTCAAATTAGGCCAGGTCAGTAGGTCAAATTAGGTCAGGTCAGTATGTCAAATTAGGTAAGGTCAGTAGGTCAAATTAGGTCAGGTAAGTAGTTCAAATTAGGTCAGGTCAGTGAGTGCTTGATCCAACTCTAACAAAAGTCTTTATTTATTAAAGTATCAGTGTACATGTGGGTATAGCTAATTGATATTATAATTAAGAGACTATGATTTAACAATGGGTTTAGTTTGACCAAGAGAACTGTAGAAGAAGTGGCCACAAATTGTGTCCATTAAACAGAAGAGATTTTCTATTGATTTATGAAATAAGTCCCTGGTGTCTATTTTCTGATGAACACAATCTAGATAACTATTTAAAAGCCCTCACTTTTTAGATTAAAAATTTCTTTTTTGTGTGTTTAGTAATTACTATGTTAATTAACTGTTACTGCCTGTCTTGTCTCAGCTATCCCATCACTGTGGATGGGCGTGTCTCACGAGGAAGGTCACCAGCACACAAAAAAGACCCCTGACCTTGAGCTACATCCTGAGAAAACAGACTCGTCCTTGACCTTCACCTCATCCCTGATGTCCATGGGTGAGATGCAAGAGGCCAAGGCCATTGGAGAGTTGGGGAACCTTGACGAGAGGAAAGTTCTGGACCTCAAGAGATGGTACCATTGTCTTAAGTCTTCTACCTCTTTCATTTGTGTTTTTTATTAATGATAAAAAAACTTTTAGTCTGAGAGTTAATTTTTATGTCATAACATAAAAGATTTTAGTTATGGCTCTTTTCTCCTTATAGCAAAACAAAAAATGTTTAATGCTGCTTATTATTTGAAGTAGAATTTTCAAAAATGGTGGATAAAAAATGTATGACATTAGATATTATGAGGTCTGTTAACTAGATTGTAAACAATGTGGTAGTGTTTATATACCGCCTGTTGTTGGTAATGCAAAAGTCAACCTCAGTAAAGATGTAATTAAAACATGAATCTGTCATTGTTATGTAAGTTAGAATATAAACAATATGGTAGCGCCTAAATAAGTTTTCCTCAGTAGGCCACAAGGAATAGTTAAACACAAATCTGTTATGTAAACAATGTGGTAGCGTCTAAATACCGCCTGTTGCAGGTACTGCATAAGTCGTCCTCAGTACAAGACATCCTGCGGAATCTCTTCTGTTGTGTCCTGCTGGAACTTCCTTTTTTCAACCCTTGGCCATGGCAGGTGGGTCTAATTTAGTCTTTGGCCATGGTAGGTGGGTCTAATTTAGTCTTTGGCCATGGTAGGTGGGTCTAATTTAGTCTTTGGCCATGGCAGGTGGGTCTAATTTAGTCTTTGGCCATGGTAGGTGGGTCTAATTTAGTCTTTGGCCATGGCAGGTGGGTCTAATTTAGTCTTTGGCCATGGCAGGTGGGTCTAATTTAGTCTTTGGCCATGGTAGGTGGGTCTAATTTAGTCTTTGGCCATGGCAGGTGGGTCTAATTTAGTCTTTGGCCATGGTAGGTGGGTCTAATTTAGTCTTTGGCCATGGCAGGTGGGTCTAATTTAGTCTTTGGCCATCGCAGGTGGGTCTAATTTAGTCTTTGGCCATGGCAGGTGAGTCTAATTTAGTCTTTGGCCATGGCAGGTGAGTCTAATTTAGTCTTTGGCCATGGCAGGTGGGTCTAATTTAGTCTTTGGCCATCGTAGGTGGGTCTAATTTAGTCTTTGGCCATCGCAGGTGGGTCTAATTTAGTCTTTGGCCATGGCAGGTGAGTATAATTTAGTCTTTGGCCATGGCAGGTGGGTCGAATTTAGTCAAGTATTTAATTGTAGGCTATATTTGGAAGGATAAAGCTGTCTTAATTCATTGTGCCCTTGGAAGTACAAAGCTTTTTTTTACTTGTGTACTTAGATGTATAAAGCTGTTTTATTTAACTGTGTACATGGAAGTATAAAGCTGTTTTATTTAACAGTGTACATGGAAGTATAAAGCTGTTTTATTTAACTGTATACATGGAAGTATAAAGCTGTTCTACTTTGTGCCAGCTTGAAACCACTAACCCAGGAGGCCGCCATGAAGATCTTGGGCTTCCAGTCACCGTTTGAGAACATCAAGTTTGGTCCAATTACCGGAAACCTAACTCTCCTCAGGTGGGTTGGCTTTCAACTCTTTTTTGTATCTAAGTTTTGTTTAAACAAAATAAATCTCTAGACTAGGTATAAATAATTTTTTATCTTTAGGATATCTATTCGTATACTAAAGGTATATCTAACCCACCCACCAAGCATATCAACAAGACCCCCCCCCAATGTATCAACAAGACCGCCACTTAAATTGTATCTACAAGACCACCCTCTCCCCCCTACCCCCCACCCACAGTGTCTCAGCAAGACCCACCCAGAACTTATTTGAAAGTTGCAACCTTTCAGGTGGTTTCAGGAGCTGAACTCTTACTTCAAGGTCAAGGGCCGGAGCTACTTCCTGTTCAAGCCCTTTGGTAAGAACAAGACAGCTGGGGTCACGGAGGAGATGGCCCTGCAGATGCTGAAGGTGGGGCTGAGAGACCCCAAGATGTCTTTCATCTACCACTGCCACAACCACTACTTCTGCCCCATAGGCTACGAGGAGACGCCTCTCTTTTGTGTTGATGCGTACAAGTACGTTTTTTTTTAATACAACATTTATTTTTACAGTAATCTTTTGTCAAAAAAATCTTTTATTTAATGCATACATTATACATTTTTATAAATCTTTTATTTTATTTAAGATTTATACTTTTTTTATTCTAAGCAATTTAATTTGATAATCGCTTCACAAAAATAGTATTTTTCATACAAGTTGACGGGTTTTAATGTTTTTCGTACATTTGAATTTTTCTTTTAAACTACCATCAGCAATATTTATTTTTAAATCAGTTTTACTTGTTTAAAAACTTATTTGTTTTAAATTTGCTTCCAGACTGTATAAATAATGTGAAGTTAATTTTTATAGTTTAATTGATTTACTTTTTGATGATGATCATTGTGTATATATAAGAAGATTTTTCTTTAAATCCCTTAACTGTTGGTCTGACCTCAGGGCTAAAGTAGGGGAGAAGGCTGTGGACACCTGGATACTGGTGGGGGACACAAGCAGGAAGCATCCCTGCATTCATTGCAAAAGGTAACCAAAAGTCTTTTTAGAAATAATTGCATTGAATTTTTAATTTATAACAGAACAACCAAAAAATATATTTTCCTAATTGGTTTTAATTTTGACAAAAATCTGGCCAAAAGTTTTAATTTTAACACAAATCTGGCCAAAAGTTTTAATTTTAACAAAAATCTGGTCAAAAGTTTTAATTTTAACAAAAAATCTGGCCAAAAGTTGTAATTTTAACACAAATCTGGCCAAAAGTTTTAATTTTGACACAAATCTGGCCAAAAGTGATAAGCTATTTTTTAGATATAATTGACTTGTTTTTAAAAACAGAGTAAACTAACCAAACATTTTCTCCTCAACAGCTGGGAGGACATCTGCACAGATCTGAACTGCCAGAGTCCAAGTTTCTTCAACATCAGGCAGACCTGGAAGGGGATCCAGCAGAGGCCCACAACGCGCATGACTGGCGGGAACCTGCACTGTATCATGACATTTCAGAGAGATGACAACTTGTCAGGGTCATCAACTCTGGCGTCCGTCAACTGGAGTAAATCCCTGCCCCGGCAGTCACGCCTCCCTGTCCGTCCTACCGTGACCTCGAATAGCACGGGGAGTTCATCACCCATCACAAATTTATCGCAGGACCTGTCTGGTCACTCTCAGATCCAGACGCACCAGCCAGAACTGGAAGGCAACGGAGCAGAGGCGAGTATGGAGGAAGAGGAAGTAGGTCTTGAAGATTTGGAGTCAGATCTAAGTGACGACAATGTTGATATTGACCATGTCTTTGATGAGGCTCTAAATCCAACAGCACAGTAGTGGGGTTAATCTGGTTTTCATGGTGGGAGAATGGATTTAGTTTCCTTACTGCTGTGTTGTAAGGTTCTTCTGTTTTTGGTGTTGTTGGGAATGGACCAAGTGGTTTGTGACTTTCAAATTTTGATGCCTTAATCTCATCTTTTCTCAACTGCATTGGATATTTTTAGTTTTTACCTTTATTGAGGTGTGATGCGTGTTCAAAAACCATTTTTTATTTAGCTTTCAGGGTAAAACTTTTATTGGATTGAATTAAATGTAAAGTATTTAAATGTAGGCCGGATTAGATGTAAATCATTTAAATGTGGATTAAATGTAAAGTATTTAAATTCAGGCTGATTGAAAAATTATTTATATACAAGTTATGCAGTCAGGATAATTAGCTTCTGGATTGGATGGTTTTGGTATGTGTATATGTGCACAAATAGTAATTGCATTGCTTTAAGTTGTATTATCCTTTAACCTACTATCACTTGATAGTGTGGCTTTCTTTACTTTTGTGCTAAAGATTTCTTGCTTTTGATATTGCCATAAACTGTTAAATCCTTTCAAGACTTCATTGTTGATAGCCTCCAGGGATTAAATGGGGTTTCTTCCTACACTAATTGTGTAAATAAATTGGACCTACAATTATTGTGTGAATAAATTGGAAGTTGTCAGTTAGCTATGTTATTTAGGGTAGCCCTCCTCCAAATCACTGTGTGGTTAAAAGAGTTGTCATTGCACTGTTAGTGTGTCTTTCGGGATGGTCTGGCTATGCAGTTTTGTGAGCTAATCTGGTATTTCTTCTACACAACTATTGTGTCTTTCAGAATAGCCTAGGCACACAACTTTTGTGCTTCTTAAGATAGCCCATCACAGAGGTTAAGATTCTTAGTGTGTTATGTTTGTGCAGTTGTGTGAATTAATCTGGTATATCAACACACCTGTTGTGTCATTCAGAAAATCCTATCCCCACAACTGTTGTGTCACTCAGAATAGCCTATCCACACAACTGTTGTGTTTTTTCCAGAAAAGCCTATCCCCACAACTGTTGTGTCATTCAGAAAAGCCTAACCCCACAACTGTTGTGTCTTTCAGAATAGCCTATCCACACAACTACTTTTTCCGATCGCAGACTTTCATGTCCACTTTTTCCCAGATCCTTCCAACCATGTATAGACCTTTATGGCAAATCTACTGCACACCCTCCAACCCCCCAGTACGTAAGAGGGCCCTGACACTTAAGAGCAGGCTGCCCATCACCAGAGAGGAGACAGAGTTTGACCCGGTGGAGAACAGCGTCAAGGAGAGGATCCTGAGGGAGTTTGAAGCAGAAGATAATGAAGACTCCCAGTTTAGTGAGGTGGAGAGCCGAGGGAAATAACTCTGTTGGATTTATGACCAAGGGAAATAACTTTTGTAAGCTGATCATTTGTTGGAGAGTTTTCAGTTCCTGGTTCAAGTTTGAGTTTTTTTTTTTCATTGATCAATTCCGCATTTTTTAGTTTCCTGTTCAAAGGCTATTTTCAGCAATATTCCAGGTGTTTTTCTTTTGACACCTGTGATCTTTCTTTTTTCAATGTTGACACTTCAGACTTGATATGATAAAAACATTAATTAAACGCATTAAATTTTTAGAAAACGAATTAATTCAGCACCACCAATTAGCTAAATTAAATTCTTTTCAAACTTATGAACAAATTCTTTTTAGCTTGACATACTTGTGTCCTTGTTCCTTATTTAGCTGAAAGTGTTTGCTTTGCTTGCTGATTTCTACCCAGTGGTTTTAAAATCCAACTCCTGATAAAACAGCCGGAAAACATGTTTCCAATGTTGTGATCAGCTGTATGCTTGTTTAGGTAGACAGTTGTTCTCAAAAGTCGGGGTACCACTTGGTTATCATTGTTACAATGCTTCCCAATAATTGTTTGGTAGTTGTGTTACACAATTGTTACCATGATTCTCACAAATTATTTTGTATCATTTTGGGGAGCGTTTGATCTCTCTCCCAGTAGAAGTTGTCTCAGTGTAGGTGAAGCAGAGTTGTCTCATCAAGCTTGTATAACATTCTGATTTTCTGTGCTGGTCCATTCAGACCAGGCTTGTCAGTATCACACCACAGCTTTAGCTCCTAGCTGACCTCACACCACAGCTTTAGCTCCTAGCTGACCTCACAGCTTTAGCTCCTAGCTGACCTCACACCACAGCTTAAGCTCTTAGCTGACCTCACACCACAGCTTAAGCTCTTAGCTGACCTCACACTCCATTTTGAGCTCCTAGCTCACCACAGACTGTGAATGTATACTGACTGATCACTGCAATATAAAAAACACATTCCATCTTCTTATATATCTAATATAACATGTATCCATGATATTACCAATATTGTGTTTTAATGTAGTTTTACAAGTATATACATATATATTTACACTGATTCTATTCTTTATCTATTTTTATATATATTAATATATTAATATTTGGGTATGGCAATAATGATTATACACCTATGCAATAATATCTCATTTTATCTGCATGTTACTGTGATAAAGTGTTTGGTTTGTTTTGCAAGTCACTGTGTGTTGTGTAGAAGAGAATCATTTTACATTGAAATATCAATATAAAGATGTCATTTATTTATTTGTTATCAATTATACCTCTGGAAACAGCTGCATAGGCAGGGAAGTTTAAAGGACCCCCCCCCCCCATGGAACCCCATGGAATATTTGAATATTTAGATATAGACATTCTATAAGTAGACATGTGGGGGATATAAGATATCAATGCCATCTGAGTATCATCGGGTTAAAACAGAATTCAAGTATGTGTACACTAAATGTAAGATGTGATAGGTGTACTTGTGATATATAGTGTAATATGTGAATAATATTGATTCTACAGAACTCAGTGATTAAAGTATAGGCCTACTGTATGTTTGTGACTTCTTATTGAACGCAGTCCTTGACCTTTGTGTTCTTTATTTACAGAATGCTTGTGAAGGTCATCAGGTATAATTTTATGATAAATGGTTTTTTTTTCCAATTTAATATATTTCCGTTTTCTTTACTGCTTCTACTCTAACATAAATGCTACTGTTGTTTTTTTTTACCTATCACTCATGGCCAGTCTGTTTATAGAAGTTTTGTGTGAAGCCTAAAACATTTCAATTAAAAATATATGAAAAAAAATTATTTTACTATTTACTTATATATTTTATTCACATATTTCTTTTCATTAAGTTAACATCCTACCAAACCTGTGTGTGAAATATTGTGTGTAAATAGGCTTGAAAAGCTGGTGCCAAATAGTTCCAAAAGTTAGTTGCCAGAAAGTATATTTTTCAACCAAAATTAATTATTTTATAACATTTGTGTAATAAGCACAAAATGACTTCTGGTTTCATTAAGGCTAGAAGCAGTCAAACAAATAATTAATAGTAATATACTAGTAATTTAGCAAATACTTTAATTATTTATTTGGATTAGTAGAGTCATATTGTTGTGGTGATATATTATTTAATATAAATTCAATACTATGCTATACACCGTTGACCACTATTTGGTATTTTATCTTGAAAAAATTGAATTGACTTTTATTGTTTAACTCTCCCTGGCCATTCTGGTTGATTGAAGGAGAGGTTGAGGGCGGTTTTTAAAAATATTTGATTTTATAAAATAATTCCAAATGGATTTTCAGCGGCTTATCTTCAATACAAAAATATGAAAATGAGTGTAATCGATGATTCTCAAACAGCTTTAAATTAAACTATAATTTTATCGCTTGCTATATTGTTTTAAAATATTTTTTCAAATTTAGAATGGTTACATACACTTTTCATGCCTATTATTTGACATAATTAAGTATTTTCAGATACTTCTCTTAAAATATATAATTTTTTTAATTTTCTTAACAGCTGGTATCAATGTTTATGAATGTAATTTAAGAATGAATTAAATATTAGAACTTGGCTAGTGTTTTTGCTAAATAATTTTTTTTTTTTTTTTTTTTTTTTATTTTTGCTTTTTACTATTACTCCACAAAAAAGTGTGGGTTTTTCTTTAACTTTTTTCTTCACTCCACCAGTAGATTAACATAGGCAAGTAGAAGCAATTTTATGCTTCACTGTAGGCTTTAATTTTACTTTTATTTAATCCCCTTTAATTGATTTTTTTTTTCAAATTTGTGTCTTTTACGAGCAAGCAGAAGGGGGAATAAATAAAGGGAAATAACTAAGCGACACGATACGGCCATGCTGAGTTGCTTCCCCTGATGGGTCTGTGTAATGCTGCAAATTGAGTTAAAACCTTACACGCTATTTTTTTAAAGCAAGGCACACGTGGTACAGGAATCGACCTGATTAGAAACGGGTGTTTGGAATTGTTTTAATTTTGTGACCTTGCTTCGTTATGTGTGCGGCTGCATTGTAAATAGATTAATTATACCTCCAGTGAACGACTTAGACCACAGGCTGTAGGGAAAATAGTTTAAAGAAATTTATATTCATTTTTGCGATTTTTTAATTTATTTCTGAAATGATATTATGTAGTAATAGGCAGTGGCGTAGCGAGGTCGGGTGTCACCCGGTGCGGCACTTAATAGTGTCACCCCCACAGAGGCGTAGCGACCCTTCCAGGGGACAAACTTTCAAATTTTCGATTTGCACCCCCCCCCCTCAAACTTTCGATTTGCACCCCCCTCAAGTTTTCGATTTGCACCCCCCCCCCCCCTAACTTTCGATTTGCACCCCTCCCCCTTAAGTTTTTCTCTATATATTTTGCTATTTTTTGCCTTGGTGTCACCCCCCTAAATGGTGGGTGTCACCCGGTGCGGTCCGCACCCCCCCCGCCCCCCCCTCGCTACGCCCCTGGTAATAGGTCATTTAATAACCCAATGTAGGTCTTTTGAAATGTACTTTGGTGTACCATGTTGGGTAAAGGCGTAGCATCAAGACAACAAGATAATGGTACAATAGCATCAAGACAACAGGATAAAGACAACAAGATAATGGTACAATAGCATCAAGACAAATCACAAATGGATGGTGACAAACAACTGCATGAAGACAACAAGAAAGGGCAACTTAAACATTTAACAACATGGAGGTTTAACGGGAATTACCATTTTATTACCTTGTCTTATGCGAGGTCTTATACAACACTGCATTTGATTATAGTTATATGTGCTAAATCTCTCCTTTAGAGAACGGCTGTATGCATAAGTAGACAGTACATGTTTACACATACTTTTTTTCTCGATGTTTTGCAGTTGTTTCTAACGAAGATTTTTACAATTTATTGTTTATAACTCTTTCGTTAAGGGGGGGGGGGGGGAGGCTAAAAATGTTATATAAAGTATGTAACACAAAAGTATATAATTTTTATTATGTTTTAAATAACATTTCTATAGACACACCATCTTTTATTTATAATATTTCTACTTTTATATTCAAAAAGGAATCATATATATATATATATATATATATATATATATATATATATATATATATATATATGTATATGTATATATATATTGCGTTATATATTAAGTGCACTGTCCCGAATATAAACCAGGGGAGATAAGAAAAGACAAGCTTGAGTGACGCGGGTATATCTGATTTCATTTGAGAGTGTGGAATAATTTTCAGCTAATTCAATCAGATAATAGTTGGCACATCTCTGGCTTGTTAGAATAAGGGTCCCGAGTGGCTATTGCGTGACGTCATCAGCTCGTCACCAAGGATATTGGTTTATTAAGAGCAATCGATTTAAGAGGATTAAGAATGGGATTGATTTAAGGGATATGTTTTCTAAGAGATCGATAGGGCTGAGACCAGTCACCTGCTTGTTCTATCTCTGGCACCACGTGCCGGCTATTTGGGATCAATGACCTACCTGCTCCACCTGAAAGACCTCTTTGAGGTCAATGTCCTACCTGCTCCACCTGAAAGACCTCTTTGAGGTCAATGTCCTACCTGCTCCACCTGAAAGACCTCTTTGAGGTCAATGACCTACCTGCTCCACCTGAAACACCTCTTTGAGGTCAATGAGCTACCTGCTCCACCTGAAACACCTCTTTGAGGTCAATGAGCTACCTGCTCCATCATATCTGACCACAAGAAAGACCTCTTTGAGGTCAATGACCCAATCATGGCCCACCTAGCTTACAATCATGACCCGACTAGCTTACAATCATCACCCGTCCGTTAGCTTACAATCATGGCCCACCGACTAGCCTACAAACACGGCCCGCAGACTAGCCAACAATCATAGCCCGACTAGCCTACAATCATGGCCCGTCGACCAGCTTACAATCACGGCCCGCAGACTAGCCAACAATCATAGCTCGCCCACTAGCCTACAAGTATGGCCCATCATGGCCTGCCGACTAGCTTACAACCATGGCCCGTCTGCTAGCCTACAATCATGGCTCGCCGACTAGCCTACAATCATGGCCCGTCTGCTAGCCTACAATCATGGCCCACCGACTAGCCTACAATCATGGCCCACCGACTAGCTTACAATCATGGCCCGCCTACTAGCCTACAATCATGGCCCACAGACTAGCCTACAATCATGGCCCACAGACTAGCCTACAATCATGGCCCACAGACTAGCTTACAATCATGGCCCGCCGACTAGCCTACAATCATGGCCCACCGACTAGCTTACAATCATGGCCCGCCGACTAACCTACAATCATGGCCCGCCGACTAGCTTACAACACCAACAACATCTATCATGCCTGTTTAACCAACCAACAAACTATAAAACCGATCTGTTATCGACCCTCCCTATAGCATCAACAGAATAAACTAGACTTCCGTGTTCATCCAACAGCTGTTGAGGGTGGTCAGATAAAAATGAGGAAGTTATAGCCAGATTAAACATTGTGCTAGAACAAATTTGAACAAACGTCTTAACTGTTATTTTTTAGTTGTAGCCTACTTAAAAGCCTATTAATGGGCCTCTTAATATTGACTGTAACTTTACAAATTTAAACTGATATTTTAACATTTGGTTTTCCAATTTTGCAGACGATAAGTCCTTCGTGAAAATATACCTAGTTCTACAACATGAACTGAATTTGAAAAATGATTTCATCAACAATCGATCAATATGTCAAAAATTAATTATATAAGATTTAAAATTGTATTATCCCAATATAATAAAGATTAAACATGTTCTGTTGTTGTTTGTCAAGGGTTTTTAAAAAGTGTTTCGTTATCTTTTGTCCACTTGTTCAATTTAGTATTCCCAGGCCTCTTGACTGGAGGTGTCAGATTTGATTGGGTGGTTTCTGTGTGATGTGAGTGTAATCGATTCCATGAATGGCTAGTTGGCCTCAGTGGCGTTGCTAGGTCGGGTGTCACCCGGTGCGGCACCTAATGGTGTCACCCCCTCCAACAAAAAAGTATCAGTATATATATATATATATATATATATATATATATATATATATATATATATATATATATATATATATATATATATATATAAAATAAGCTGTATGTAAAATTGTTTTCTCTATAATTGGCAGGTTTACGACCAAGTGTCACCCCTCCCCCATACGATTTGCACTTAATAAGACTTTTTAATTCTAATCATTAATTACACAGGCAAAAAGCATTTTTCTAATATACAATTTTTAATTTATTGTATTGGTGTCACCCCCCTAAATGGTGTCACCCTGTGCGGTCCGCACACCCCAGCCCCCGCCTCGCGTCGCCTCTGGTTTGCCTTGTAAGTACTGATTGTTACTTGGGGGGGGGGGGGGGGGGTGACATTAGATGTGTGTCAATAAGGGGAGGGTCAGTTGAATGGTGGAAATAAAAAATGTATTTTTTATGCTATACACGAAATGGTTATGATTATATATATATATATATATATATATATATATATATATATATATATATATATATATATATATATATATATATTCATATATATATGTGGTTGTCATAAGTTAAAGTCCCCCCTTTGTTGTCAACATACATGGTTTTGACAGTTTGTGACTGGTTGGCATCAAACGCCATTTCAAACTCTACACGAGGATGTAAGCTTTACACGTTGTTTACGTAAGTTGTTTTACAAGGGAGGATAATCCTATGGTGAAAGAGTTGTCTGTTTTTGCAGTTAAAACAATGAAAGTCTGTGAGGACATAACAAAAGCAGCCTTGTAGAGAGGTACCTCATGTACCACATTGAATGGGGAGCCACTTTTGTACAGATGGTGGTGACTGTAGAATCTACAAGATTTGTGTGACTCTTTATAGTGGAGGACCAGACTTAAAATAGAGTGACGCGTCATTTATGTTGCACTGGTTTCAGTGTTTCTTCCAGACTTTTTTCTCCGTGGGGGGGGGGGGGGGGGGGGGGCACTTGAAATGTTCGGGGGGGGGGGGGCGGTAAACTTTCTTCGGGGGGGCGGACACTGTTAAAAGTATATATTTTCTATATAAATTATATAAATTTCATTTCGTTCGGGGGGCGGTAAAAAATTTTCGGGGGGGCTTCGCCCCCCCCCGAAGAGATGCCTGGAAGAAACTCTGACTGGTTTATGTCCATA